GAAACTATGCTTGTATGCCAATACTGATCGTGACAAAAAGTGAAAACGAGTGAGGTAGTAGAGACTTTGGAGAGTTTCCAGAGCAATATCCTTGACTATAGTTTTGACTGTTGACTAGGTGAAGTGGGTGGGGTCCGGGGACCGAGGAAGGACAGACTTCAGGCGTGAGCGGATGGGATCCCTTGAGGCAGCACTGCGTTCTCAGTGACAGAGCGACTGCTTAGGTTTATTCCAAATACAAACCCTGTAACTCTGTCATAAAGGAGACTGGGGCTTGTCGTTTGAATTTGTTCTTAATATTTGAATATTCACTTTCAAATGTAGGTATGCATTTGAGATGTGACATGAAGCAAACATTAAAATTTTATTGATAAGTTCAAGTAAAATAAAGAAATGATTATTATGAAAACTATGAATGTAATGTACAAAAACAATTAAGTTACCTTATGTCCCAGCAATTCTGCTCCTGGGTATATACCCAAGACAAATGAAAAGATATGTCCACACAAAAACTTGAACATAAATGTCTATAGCATCAATTATTCACAACAGCCAAAAAGTGAAAATAGCTCAAATGTTCATCAATAGATGAATGGATAAACAAACATGTGTATTATTCAGCCATAAAAAGGAATGAAGTACTGATACATGCTATATAGCGCAGATGAGTCTTATAAACATTATGCTAAGAGAAAGAAGCCAGTAGCAAAGGGCCACCTGTTACATAACACCATGTATATGAAATGTTCAGAACAGTGAATCCACAGCGTTGGATAGTAGATTGTAGGTTGCCAGTGGCTGGGGGAGGGGTCACGGGCCGTGACTTTCAATGGGCATAAGGTGGGTTTTTTTGAACTACAAAAGCATCCTGGACTTAGATGGTGGTGAGGGTTATACGCCTTGTGACTATACTATACTAAAAATCATTGAGCTGTAAATTTTAAAGTGTGAATTTTATAGTATATGAACTATTATCTTAATTTCAAATGCTTCTCAAGTGTAAAGCACTTCTATTAGTCTTTTTTCTATGTATAGAACAAAACATATTTGCTTTATATATTTTGAGGCTAAATTTTTAGGAACATACAACTCTAGAGCTATTGCACCTTTCACAAGAATTGAATTTTTATCAGTCCTACTAACCCTCCATATCTAGTAACACCTTTTGTTGTTCAGTGTACTTGCCTGATATTAATATGGTGACCCCTGCTTTCTTTGGTAAGAATTGCATGGTGTAGTTTTTCTCCTTCAATCATTTTGTGTTCTTCTGTTAAAGGATACATCTCTCTTACAAATGTATCTCTTATAAAACCTATATTTAGGTGTTTTTAATTGTGTCTAACCACTTTTACTTTTTAATTAGAGGGTTTAGTCCATTTACAAAATTTACTGTGGTTGCTGATATATTTGTATTTTTTTGTACTATCTTAATATGTGTTACCTATATGTACCCATTTTTCTACATCTTTATCTTCTACTCTCTTTTACCCTTTATTAGAGGTTTTGTGTGATTTTTAAAAATTCTATTTATCTCCTTTTCAAAGTTGCAAGCATTTATGTACATTCTTTTAACAGTCAAGCTAAGTTTATCAACATGCACATTCAACAGCCTAAAATTCACACCTGAGCTTTACAGGAGGCTCAGGTCACTTTTTTTGCTGTCACATCCCTCCAGCCTTAAATGACATTTTCCTTTCATCTAACAACTTTATAGCGACTTTAACCTCAAAGTGGCTATTAGTTTATGTTTATTGAATTAATCTTTAATGTACTCGCATACTTGTCAGCATCCTTTCTTTGCTTCACGTTCTTTCTTCAATCTCAGACCTTCCCTCTGGGGTCATTTTCTTTCCACTGACAGCACATTCTTTTTTTTTTTTTTTTAATTGATAAATCATGTTTATTCTATTACAGTTGTCTCAAGTTTTACTGACAGCACATTCTTTAGAACATCTTTTCTCAACTGGGGTTTCCTGAGAGATTAAGTTGTAATGCCTTTAGGCACCCATGGTCTGTAATGAATCAACTCCTCTAATGTGCAGCTAGAACAATCCTATAACAAACTAACCCTTTGCATTCGAGGGGCCGCCACGCAGACCACCCACCTGGCTGTGGGCAGATTAAGAGACTTCAGGCCAAGGTGGAGGCATAGGTAAATATGCTTCTCCTCTGCGCACAGCTACAGCAAAAATTACAACTAACTACAAAACAAACATCACCCAGAATCATCAGCAAATCAAGCTCTATGGAAGTCTGACAACCAAGAATTTTTAAAAATCACATTCATCCAGATGGGGGCGTTTTCTACAATAGGCCATGCTACTAAGACAGGGAGTCAAAGCAGCTCTACCTAATACACAGAAACAAAACACAGGGAGGCTCCCAAATAGAGGAGGCAAAGAAATATGGCCCAATGGAAGAACAGAACAAAACTCCAGATAAAGAACTAAATGAAATGGAGATAAGCAACCTACCAGATGCAGAGTTCAAAACACTGGTGATCAGGATTCTCAAAGAAATCATTGGGTACTGCAACAGCCTAAAATAGACCCAGGCAGAAATGAAGGTTGCATTAAGTGAAATAAAGAAAAATCTACAGGTAAACAACAATGATTGGGATGAAGCCGAGATTCAAATCAATGATTTGGAACATAAGGAAGAAATAAGCATTCAACCAGAACAGCAAGAAGAAAAAAAATTTTTTTAATGAGAGTAGAATAAGGAGCCTCTGGGACATCGCTGAACATTCCAACTTCCAAATCATATGGATGCCAGAAGGAGAAGAGGAAGAGCAATAAACTGAAAACTTATTTGAAAAAAAATGAAAGAAAACTTTCCTAATTTGGTGAAGGAAATAGACATACAAGTCCAAGAAGCACAGAGAGTTTTAAACAAGTTGGGCCCAAAGAGGCCCACACCAAGACATATCATAATTCAAATGCCAAAGGTGAAAGATAAAGAGAGAGTCTTAAAGCAGCCAGAGAAAAGCAGAGGGTTACCTACAAAGGAGTTCCCGTAAGATTGTCAGCCGAATTTTCAAAAGATACTTTGCAGGTTAGAAGAAACTGGCAAGAAGTATTCAAAGTAATGAAAAGCAAGGACCTACAGTCAAGATTACTCTTTCCAGCAAAGCTATCACTTAGGATGGAAGGGCAGATAAAGAGCTTCCCAGACAGGGTAAAAAGTGATGAACTCCTCATCACCAAGCCATTATTATCTGAAACGTTAAAGGGAATTATATAAGAAAAAGATCAAAACTGTGAACATTAAAATGGCAATAAATGCATAACTATCAACTGAATCTAAAAAACAAACTAAGCATCTAAGCAGAACAGGAACAGAATCGTAGGTATGGAGATCACTTGAAGGGTTATCAGCTGGGAGGGGGAAGAGGGAGAATAGGGGAAAAGGTGCAGGGATTGAGAATTACAAACTGGTAGGTACAGAATAGAGAGGGCCGTGTTAAGAATAGTATAGGAAATGAAGTAGCCAAAAAAATGGGAGTGCCAGGTAGAGGGGGACAAAGGGGGAAAATCGGGATAACTGTAATAGCAAAATCAATAAAATATATTTAAAAATAAAAATAAATTTAAAAAACTATTCCCTGAAACCATTTTTGGTAAGATCAAATTCTTTTATGGAACCCAGCTGAGAAAGGCTGCTTCAGAATTTCCTTCCTCCAACGGGATGTTTTGATGATAAAATCTCTTGGTCTTTTATTTGTATTTTGTTTTCTTTTCCTTGAAAGGCACTTTTACTGGGTAAGGGATTCTAAGCTATGAGCATTTTTCTCTAAGCACACTAGTAAGATATATTCTGGACAGTAGGCTTGTATTTACATTCAGGAAAGATTGAAATGGGTATGGAGCTGAGGTATGATAACAAATGAAGAGGGAGACATATATTCAAATACCTCTTTAAACTTTGGTTTTTCCATTTACAAAATTGATACTTGCATGATGGTTAAGTTTGCAAATGACATATCTATTGCATCTAAACTACAATACATTTCCATGATCTTCATGATTATTACCTCTGGTTTTCTCTATTAGTGTATAGTTTGCCCATAGATTTCATGGGCTGGAATCTAGAGCCCTGGAGAATAAAGTTGTATGCAGGAATTGTGTAAAATACACGATAGAATTCTCGTCTAGTAAACCAGCCATTCAGATTAGGGGAGAGAAGATAATCTGACTTCATCCTCATCCCAAACAGGGAGTTTTCTTTTTCCCTTTGGACAACCAGATTATTTGTTACATTTCTGGAAGCTTTTAGGCACTATTTTTAACAAGGTCATAGCATTTTGTTATAGTGTATTGGCGTGAATTTCAACCCAATGCTATATTTTGATTATAAGAATGTGATTAGTTTTCAAAGCTGTCATTTGAAAAACCTGGTTCGGTTGGTTATTCATGTCTGTGCGTCTCATCTCACTGACATCTGCCCATGAGCAGTAAGAGCTTTGATGATACCCAGATGGCCGAGGAGTAGGAAGGCACAGAGTGCTCAGTGTCAGGCTTTGCTTTTGCACAGAACCAAACAACCAGATTTCCATTCCTTTTCTGATTGGATGTGATGCACCAGGTCACCTTGGAGACACTCAGGCTACAGGGAAATGCCTGGAGACATCGTTCACTCTCCTCAGTGTTTCTCCTCTCTCTCTCTCTCTCTCTCTCTCTCTCTCTCTCTCTCTCTCTCACACACACACACACACACACACACACACACACACACACACACACAGCCCAGGAGCTTGCCAGTCAGCATATACCACACCCTGGCATGGAGAGAGCAGTAATTCTTACTTTCTCTTGCACCAGAGACCCTTCACTTTCTCTCAACTAAGTATTAAAAAGCAGAAATTAAACATGGTTTTATTGTATTCTTATCTGTCTATAGGCACATTAATTAGAGAATAAGATCATGCTAAAGATTAAGCTTCAGGTAAATCAGTCACTGAAGATTTGAAGACTTTTTAAAGTCTTAAAAGTAGACATCATATGGATGTACTACAACATTTATAACAATTTCCCTATTCAATGTTATTTTCACGTATTTGCTACTGTAGACAACCGTGTGTTTGATATTCTAGCCGTAAGTCCTCCTCCTGGAAACTGCTTGTAGATGGATTCCAACAATCCATAACAAAAAATGGTATGGCCTAGGGTTAAAGCTTCGGTTTATCTGTAGTTTGGATGTATGAACCGCTCTTGCTTCTTTCAAACAGGATGATCTAGGAAGAAAAAGAAAATCTAACGTAAGAAAGCCTATTCAATAGAGGATGAGATAAACACTACAATTTGTATTCTGAGGGTGAAGGCAGATCTGAGTATTTATGACACATAGAGAAAGGGGTGGGGGTGACTCACCTCATTGTCTTCTGGCTGAAGCCAGGCACCAGGAAGGTAAAGCGTTTGCTGTGGTCCAATATGCCAATATCGCCCAAGGTTACGTCCATTGATGAACACAAACCCATAGCTCCAGTTCTGGAAAAGGATGGAGACTTGAGACATGGAAACAGATTCACACTGGGAACGTTAAATTTAAGGCACTTGTGGAGTGAGAACAAATAGAAACAATCTCAGAGAGACCAGGGTGACAACTAAGTGGGGGCTGGGGAGGGGGGATTGAGCAAAAAGGACTCATAGACATGGACAACAGTGGTGTTTTGGAGGGTATAAGGGGACTAAATGGTGATGGAAAACATACAGTTCAAACTAAGGCAGATGCTTCATGGCACTGAAAGTGAAAGTGAGTTTACAATGGGATATGTTCTAGAAGTTTTACCCTCCTGTTCCTGGTCTAGGGATGACAGAGAAAACATGAACCAACTTTTTAATGCCAGTGTTGTTATTGTTCCTGCCCTATGATAGATAAAAGTACATATTTTTTAAAAGCAGGTCTTTTGCTTCCAGAAATAAGTACTAAGTAATGCGGATGAACACTACTGCTGAGAGCAGCTATAAAAGCTACGTGGCTTTTAATTTGCTTCAATACAGTGAAGAATTACAGGACCAAGGTCTAGGAGAAGAAAACTGAGAGACAAGGAGAAATTGAAGCAGTTCTTCCACTACAGACATCTGCCTATTCAGGAAGAAGTAGCTGCAAAACTGAGCAGGACCTTTCATAGCCTCACAAGTTTAGAGGAACAAAAGTAGACACCAGGGAACCTTATTAAATAATGTACAGCCTGGGTTAGGAACCTGAGAGTCTACACCCTAGGAGAAAAGTAAACTAGAAATAGTCTAGTCATTGGAGGGAAGCCTTGATTCAAATCATTTCAGTCTGTAAATGTAGTAGGTCCCTAGTCACCTACAGAAGTGGGTGTTAATTGTCTGACATCTTAGGCCTTGAATTATTTCTATTACTTTTCATAAAGTCTGGCACTCAGTGAAAAAAATAACTAAGCAGTTGGTGAGGGAGACAATATAATAAAAACAAAGAGGAACAAGAGACAACAAAAGTAGATGCACAGATGATACAGATAATGGATTTATAAGGCACAGGCTTTGAAACAACTGTGAATAAATTGGTATATACAAAGAGATAAAAGATAAGACTTAGAACTTTGACAGAGAAGTGTAAACTATTTTTTAATAAGAGGCCATAGTTTATTATCAATAAGACAAGAAGTCACAAGTGTTGAAGAGATTGTGAAGAAAAGGAAATACTTATGCGCTGTTGGCGGGAATATAAACTGGTGCAGCCACCATGGAAAATGGTATAGAGATTCCTCAAAATTAAGACTACAGCTACCATGTGACCTAGTAATCCCTCTTCTGGGTGTCTATCTGAAAAGTTTGAAAACATTTATTCATAAAGATATATGCACCTTTATGTTTGCAGCATTATTCATGGTAGCCAAGACAGGGAAACAACCCAAGTGTCTTTCAATGGATGACTGGATAAAGAAGATGTAGTGAATATATAATAGAATAGAACACTACTCAGCCATAAAAACATGAAATACTGCCATTTTCAAAAACGTTAATGAATTTGGAGAACATCAAGCTGAGCAAAGTAAGTTAGGTAGAAAAGAATAAAAATCATATAATTCCACTCATATGTGGAATATAAAACAGAAAATATCAAATAAGCAAACAAACAAAAAAAGACAAAAAATAAACTCATTGACAAAAAAAAAATACGGTTGTTGCCAGAGGGGAAAGGGGGTAAGGGGAGGTAGAGAAGAGCGAAGGGAATCAAATATATGGTGATGGAAAAACACTAAAATTTGGGGGATGAGCATGCAATACAGGATACAGATGATGTATTATAACATTGTACATATTAAACTTATGTAATGTTATTAACCACTGACATCTCCATAAGTTTAATTAAAATTTTTACAAACAAAAATGGTTATAGTTATAGAATAAAAATATAGAACTAAAAAATGTAATAATAAAAATTAAGAATTTAGCAGATGTTTTGAATAGCAGATTAGATAAAGCTAAATAGAGACTATAGATAATTACTTAGCTGAATAATAAGAAGAAAAGAAATTTTCCAAAATTAGGCTCAGAGGGGGAAAGAAAGAGGAAAAAAACACAAGACAGAAAGGGTATAGCAAAATGGTCTAACATATAAAATTATAGTCTCTGAAATACTCTAGTTAAAAGGCAAAAATTACTGGACTAGATTTTAAATAAAGAACTTAACTTATATGTTGTGTATAATAAAATCACCTAAAATATAAAGGCATTGAAAATAAAAGACAACAATGAAAAATATAATAAGCAAATATTAAATAAAAGAAAGTTGCTATAGCCCTATTAATATCAGAAAAAAATTGACATTAACACAAGAAGCCTTTACTAACAATAAATAGGAACATCTCCTGATGATAAAATTTTATATGAATGTATGAATGTATGTATCAAATATAGAGAAACTAAAAGCAAAGATTCAAAAATAGTATATGAGCAACATTGATGGAATAATAGGAGAAATAAAATTCACAGCCATAGTGGTAAGTTTTTATACAGTGCTTCAACACTAATAAACAAAGCTAACAGGAGTCAAGACATAAAACATTTAAAAGAAGACGATTAACAAAATTGAACTAATTGACATGTGTAGAATATTAATCTAACACAGGCAGAATATATATCCTCTTTCCACAATTCATCAGAATCTTTATAAAATTGACCATAAATTGGACTAAACAAATGTTAACTTATTTTAAAGTTCTCAGGCCACAGTGCAATTGAACAAGAAATTGATAACAAAATGATACCATAAAATGTCCTCAATAATTTTTGATAAGCTTATGGATGCAATCAAATACATGCATAAATGAAAACAGCCTTTTCTTTATTTAAAAGAATAAAGATTAAAATCAGTTATCTGATTGCATATTTAAAGAAATTATAAGAACAAAGCAAGTAACTCCTGCAATAAAAGTTGAACAAAATAATAAAGTTAATGGCAGAAATTAAACAGAAAGAAATATATAATATTGTAACAGTCACAGCCAAACACTCATTTTTTTTTAACAATTAATAAAATGATAATGTTCTACTGAGACTTATTAAGGAAAAAGAAATGTTATTACAGATGTTTCAGGCATTAAAAATGAACAATTTAAATACAATATATTTGAAAATCTAGGTTAAATGGAAAAAATCTTAGAAAATGTATTTTATTTAAACTAACTTTTAAAGAACCAGAAAATCTAAAGAGTACTTTGATCTTGAAGGAATTTTATCCACACTTACAAATTTTACCACAAAGAAAATGGCTCTAGATGCTTCCCTTGATGAAATCTACCAAATGCTTAAAAAATAATACCAATCTTACACAAATTCTACTTCTCAAATAATTTATGAAGGCATTAAACCTTGGTAACAAAACCTGGCAAAGAAGACTCCTGGTCAAGATGGAAGTATAGATAAACGTGGTACTTAAGTCCTCCCACAACCACATCAAAAAATACAACTAAACTACAGAACGACCATCATTTAGAACTGCCTGAAATCTAGCTGAATGGAAGTCCTACAACTAGAGATTTAAAGAAGAAGCCACATCAAGACTGGTAGGAAGAGCAGAAACATGGAACAGGCTGGTCCCACACTCACATGTGGCAGTTTAAAATTGGGAGGGATATCTTGGCTGTGGAGGTGCCCCCTAAGAGCAAGGGGTCCCAGCCCTACACCAGACCCCCCAGACCAGGGTTCCAGTGCCAGGGAGACAAGTTCCCGTAACTTCTGGCTGTAAAAATCAGCAGGGATTGTGGCTGAAGGAGACGAAGAGATTCCGGGGTCCCAGGCAGTTTTTTTTAAAGGGCCCACACAGGAACTTACTCAGACTCACTGGCTCTGAGCTCCAGCACTGGGGCAGCAGCTTGAAAGGAACCAGGGACATAAGTATTGGAACTATATTGTCTGGCATCAGGGAAAGAGCTGGTTGGGGGCAGTTCTCTGCCAGACAAAGGTGCTGGAAGAGGCCACTGTTCCTTTTCTAAGACCTCTACTCTCCACAGAGCTGACAGGTGGGTGCTGTATCTGAGCCTTCGACTGTCTGATTTATGTTTGTCCCACCCTAGGGATTCCCTGAGAACCCCCAGCACTCAACTTGTAGGCTCAATGGAGCCATTTTCAGTGGCTTTTCCATACAACTGGCCTTGCTCACCTCATACTTCAGACATTCCTGAAATCTCTCAAACAAGCAGCATCTGGCCCCTGGGTACCCTGTACCTCTAGCGAAGTGGCCCCATGCCTGGCACTAGCAGCAGCCAGCCTTGGGTTGAAGATTGTCCTCTTCTGGGCACCTCCAAGCCCAGCACAAGTAGAGACATCTACAGATGACTCTGTAGCTTGTGCCGATGGCCCCAGGCAGGGCACTAGCAGGGGCTGACATTGAACCTCCTAGGAGGTCCCAGAGCCAGTGCCCCAGGTGGACAGCTTCAGACCACACTGGATTACCACCCTATGGCCTCCACAAGTGACACACTCAGAGGGCAGACCCAGTGAGCATCAAGCCCCACTGAAGCTGTAGGGTCGACTCCAGCACAGCAGCTCCTCTGTTGTAGTTGCAGCTGATCCTTGGAGCTAATTAGCCTAGGAGTCAATCCCTTCCAGGCACACCAACAGCAATCAAGGCTCTACTGCAATAGGACAGTGCACACAGCCCACACAGGGGCACACCTGGAGCACCCAGCTCAGGTAAGTTTGGAAGGTTGTGCCACTGGGCCCTATAGGACGTCTACTACACAAGGCCATTTTATCAAGTTCAGGAGACATAGCAGCTCTACCTAATACATAGAAACAAACATAGGAGCAGACAAAATGCAGAGACAAAGACAGAGGTACCAAATGAATGAGCAGGAGAAATCTCCAGAAAAATAACTAAATGAAATGGAAGCAAGCAAACTACCAGATATAGAGTTCAAAACCATGGTTATGAGGATTCTCAAGATACTCATGGGGAACTTCAGAAGCATAAAAAAGGACATAAAAACTATACAAAAGAACCAGTCAGAAATTAAGGATATACTAACTGAAATGAAGAATAGTTTATAGGGAATCAACAGTAGAGTAGATAATATCAAGAATCAAATCAATGATTTCGAATAGTAAAAACACCCAATCAGAACAGCAGAAAGGAAAATAATCCAAAAATATGAATACAGTATAAGGAGCCTTTGGCACAACTTCAAGCATACCAACATTTGCATCATGGGGGTGCCAGAAGGAGGAGAGAGAGCAAGAAATTGAAAACCTATTTGAAAAAATAATGACATAAAACTCCCCTTACCTGATGAAGGAAATAGACATACAAGTCCAAGAAGCACAGAATGTCCCAACTAAGATCAACCCAAGGAGGCCCACACCAAGATACATCATAATTAAAATGCAAAACGTTAAAGACAGAGAAAATCTTGAAAGCAGCAAAAGAAAAGCATTAGTTACTTACAAGGGAGTCCCCACAAGAATCTCAGCTGACTTTTCAACAAAAACTTTGCAGGACAGAAGAGAGTGGAAATAAATATTCAAAGTGATGAAAAGCAAGGACATACAACCAAGATTATTCTACTCAGCAAAGCCATCATTTAGAATGAAAGGACAGACAAAGAATGTCCCAGACAAGAAGCTCATCACTCTCAAACCAGTAGTATAAGAAATGTTAAAGAGTTTCTTTAAGAAGAAGGAAAAAAAAAGATCAAACATATGAACAATAAAATGGCAATAAATATTTATCTATCAACAATTTAATCTAAAAATCAAAATAAATGAACAAGCAATACATAAACAGACATAGATACAGAGAACATTCTAATATTTGCCAGATGGAGAGGGATTGGGAGAATGGGTGAAAAAAGGTGAAGGGATTAAGTAGCACAAATTGGTAGTTACATAATAGTCATTAGGATGTAAAGTACAGCATAGGGAATATAGTCAATAATATTGCAATAACTATGCATGGTGTCAGATGGGTATGACATTTATCAGGATGATCACTTAGTAAATTATATAATGTCAAATCATTGGAGTGTATAACTGAAACTAACATAATGTTGTATGACAACTATAATTGAAAAATAAAAAATGATTTAAGAAAAAACTTGACAAAGATATCTCATTTGTGAACATAAACAGAAAAGAAGACTTAATTATTTTTTAACAGCCAACCACTCAAAATAATAAACTTGGCTACCAACAGTAAAATGGTTAAATAAAATATTAATCTATTCATAAAATGAAATCCTATACAACTGTGAAAATGAACAACATCACTAAATGGTTGAATCCACAACGTTGAACAAAAGGAACCACATTAAAAACAAAAGACATGCTATTATTTCAATTTAGATGATGTCAAAAGAGGAAACACTAAATTAGTGTTAGGAATGGTTTCCTTTCAGGGAGAAGGAGAGGCAGTCACCGGGAGGCAGACTGTCGACAGTATTTTTTATCTCAATGGTAATTATTTGGTGTTGACTTTGTGATATTTATTCAACTCTACATTCATCTTTTGTGTATCTATGTTATCTATGTGTGTTTATACATAAAAAGATATAGGAAGTAAAAATCCCTCCCCTCTCCCCCAAAGAACAGCAATTTGCAAAATATAATTGATGAAATGATCTCATTGGTGATAAAAGTAACTGTGTATATGTTTTGGCAAAATTATATGTGAAATCACACAAATTGTTAGTAGTGCTTAGTTCTAAGAAGTTGAGAGTAATTAGAATGAGGTGAATTTGAAGGAGAGCTTCCACCATTTGTTCTCTACATCTTTTTATTATTTGAGTTTTTCCATTGTGTTTTGAAGTATTACTTTTTCATCACTAAGAATTTTAATGTGGATAGGAAGATAATCAGATGTTATATTATGAAACACAAGGAATTTACTGAAATTACAAGGAAAGTAGTTTATAAAAGACAGGTTTTACTGGAATCTGCAAAGTTTCTGAAAAAGGTAGTTTTTTTGTTTTTGTTTTTGTTTTTGCAATTACAGTACACATTCAATACTATTCTGTATTAGGTTCTGGTGTACAGCACAGTGGTTAGACAATCGTGTACTTTACAAAGTGGTTCCCCATTGTTTCAAGTTCCTGCCTGGCCCCATTCCTAGTCATTTCAATATTATTGACTGTATTCCCCATGTGGTACTTTCCATCACTGTAACTTGAGATTTGTACTTTTTAATCCCTTCACCTTTTCCACCCAGCCCTCAACCCCTGCCCTGTTCCGGCAAGCATTTGGAAAATGGTAACTTGAAAATACTGGAACACGTGGGATGGCTTAGTAGGCAGGGAGGAAGAAAGGAAAGTATTCTGGCCAGGAACACTACTGCTTTGCTTAAAGACTCATTAAGAAAGAAGAGGTGTAACGAAGAAAAACAAACAAACAAAAAGAAATTTTTTCAAAAAATTTTTAAAGGGAAAGAAAGACTAGATGTTTGAGACACCAGACCAAAGAGAGCTCGCACTCACCGGGAGTTTCAGGAAGGTGTCCTTAGGCACAGAACCGGCCTTCAGGGTTCCAAGGTAGAAGGCAGGGCCCTGGTGGCTGTTTGGGACCGGCCGCCAGGTGGCAGAGCGGAGCCTGGAGAAAGGGTCACGCCTTGAGGGAGAGGAAAGCCCTTCCCCATTCCAGTCCCAGTCCTGACCCCTGACGTCCCGTGCAGGAACCAGGATTCTGTTTCAGCGGGACAGATCAGGCTAGAAGCAGTAAAATTAGAGCCAGGAGACTTGTTCTAGGACAAGTCCTGATTCTACAGTACTTTACAATGCCGAGCAAATCACTTTAGCTCCCTGAATCTTGGGCTCTTGATCTGCAAAGTGAAGGGTTTGAAATCTCTGAGTGCCCGATCCTTCTGAGTGTCTTCTGGGAGTAAGTGGGAACACACCTCTCGAAGAAGCTCATTTTCATTTCCAGAGAATAGATTGTGAAGCCCTCCAGGGGAATGTTGTTGATGGTAACAGGTCCAGTTAACCCTGCAGGTGGGAAGGAGGAAAGAGGACATGATTGGCATTGGGTGTCCTCCGTGCCTGGGACAAAGCAACGAGGCTGCATACGCCTTGCGACAAGGGTTCAGCCACAAAGGCAAAGCCTTGTCTGACTCACTGTGACCGAAGGTTTCTTGTGTGGATTCATACCACCAAGGAGGTGGTCTACTTAACCTCAGAGCTTTTCCTGAGATTCCCGGAAGAAGCCCAGCCCTGCTCCAAGATGAGCCAGTGCCCAACATGACTGCCCCATGTCCCTGCCCTGGAGAACTGAAGGGGGCGAGACAACTAAGAGGAAAGGAATTTGTATCTTTGGTCCTAGAACCCAAGTCTCCCACTGCCTCCGTGGCTCCTTTTTTCCTCCCGGCACCACACAGCCCCAGTCTTAGGGTCAAGTAGCCACGAACAGAGGTTACAGCCCGTTTCTTAGGCCTGAGCTCACCTTTCTGCTGAGCTTGAATTCTCCATGAAAAATTTATTCGTCCTTGATTCTCCACCAGGATCCTTAGAAGCTGACACCCCTGTTTGGGATAGACCAGTGACGGGAGCTACACAAGTGTGCAGGGGTTTTACTGTAGAGCCCGCCCTTTTCTCTGAGTCCCAGATGGAAAGGCAAGCCAATGGGAGGGGAAGTGGTGCCAGAGCGCAGCGGTCCTCCACCTCTCAGGGACCCTGTGCGTCCCTGTTCCACACTCAGTCTCTCCTGCCTTCCGCTGGTCTGCCTTAGGGAAGGCAGAGAGCCTCGGCTGTGCCTTTGGTAGAGACCTGACCAGTGGCTGATGGTTGGCTCTGGGCTTTCCCACGGAAGCAGAAGCAGCACAGTGTGCTGCCGCTCCTGATGCATCTGGACCTGGGAGATGCAGCTGTGCTCCAGACACTTCCTGCTGGAACCCTAAGTGAGAAGCAACCCTCAGGGGCAGTGGCAGAGAAAAGAGGCAGTCTATGTCAGAAGCAGGCTGTGTTTGCATTCGAGTTGGAGGTTAGGGCACCTTCTAGACTCTTGAATTACATACCTTGACTTTAGGAATGTTCACGTTCTGACTACCACCATCCAGAATTCCTATTCTTTCTTTATTCAAAAATACCTGCAAGAGAAGAGCTGGTGTCAAACTTCTCTAGACAATTAGGCCCGTCTAATGAAGGGAGGAGGGAGGCTCTGGTTCAGGGAGGAGGTCACTGTAAAGGAAGGGACTGGCCTTGGCACTCACAGGTGGCTAGAAGCTGACACGAAGGCCCCAACAGACTTAGGCTGCGATAAAGCAGAGTGCAAATCACCTCGGTTTGACTTTATAGTCCCAATGCCTCACATATAATAGGTGCTTAAAAATACTATCAAACAGTAAAGTTGACCAGTGACTACTACCCTCCCCAATGGCAGCATTAGGCCGAATGTTCTGCTGACCTGCACGGACAGCCTGCTGACCCCTACCTGTGCAGTATCTCGAACATTAGCATGGAGCAGACCTCCAGAGCAGACGGATGTCTCATAGAGTACAAATCCATAGGACTGACCGCTTCCATTGTTCACGGGAAGACTCTCCATGTTGACTGGTTTACTGGACAAAACTGGCTGTGAGAGAGACACAGCAGAGACAGGAGCCGGGGAGATGCAAAGTCAGCATCCCTCTCCGAAGACTCGTCACCTCTTTGTTGTACCTCCCAATGACACCCAAGAGCTCTTTAGGTGAGAAATACTGAGCAGATGCTATGTGATGACTCTCTGGCGCTTTATGTTTCCACTGACCAGGAACTGGGGGGGCAGGGGCGCAGCAGAGGGAACAATTGCTCTCACTGTGACAATTACGAATTATGCACTAAACAAACATTTATTTAGCATCTGCAATGTGTCAGATGCTTCTTTTTATGTAAAATGGCAACAGAAGAGGTAAAATCAATATGAAATCACTATCTGATATTTTCCAAACAATTTCCACCTTTTCTTTAAAATAGGACAGGAGGTCTAATGTTGAATGGCGAGCAGGGACCTGTCCAAGTTCGGTGGTTTGGCCTAGTGGATGGTGAAGAAGAGTCAGAAGCTCAGATTCACAGGTTCCTAGCTCAGCAGCCTGTCCCCTACGGATTGTGTCCCCCACCAGCGTATTCACTGGGGGGGGGGGGTTCATCCCAGCTGGGAGGCAGGATCCTCTAATGTCCTGCCTCAGCTCCCACCCCTACTCGCTCTTCAAGTTGAAGCCCCTTCACAATCCCCCAAGAAGGAGCTTTTGGGGTCCCACCCCCAGTTCTAAATTGGGACAAAACGCAGAGAATTCATTTTCACACTTCCCATTAAAAGCCTGTGAAAGAACCTCTACTGCATGGCCTAAGGCCTCTCCCTGCATTCCAGTGCCCAGGCATACTCACCTTGTTTAAGTACTGTAGGGCATCCCACAGTGGCAAGTAAAGGGACGGCCTCACCGAAGGGTACACGGCTTTGGGAGTGAGCTCCGGTAAGGGGGGCAGAGGAAACGCTGCGAGGAAAATGGGCCTGGAACTGCTGCCTTTCTCCAAGCCTCCCCGTCCCTGTACATAAACTCTGAAGTCCCAGAGCCAACACATGAAATAGGTCCTGCCCTGGAACATCACTAAGCTGCTCCAAGACGGATGAAAAACTGCCAAGAGCTAAGTTGGAACCCTTCCGTATGCAGAGAAAGCTGACAGATAGAGACCCCAAGGGCAGTCGTGTTGGTCATGTAGACCGAAGGCTCTTGGCAGGCACGAACTCTGCCTTATGCTTTTGGCAATGCCAGTGTTTTCCTTCTTTCCAGCACATGGTAGATGGTTAATTGACTTTATTTAAATAAATAAAATTATATAGAATGATTTTTGCTATTGTATATAAGGGTATGCTGTATTACATCATACTAAGAGCTTTACGGTTACTTAATTTTCACAACCATTATAGGAGATGAGTATCATCATCTTCATGTTTCAGGGAAGAAACTGAGGCTAAAAGGGCTTAAAAACACTCATGCAAAACACATAGATTTTATGTGGGAAAATCAGGATTTGAACCTGTTGCCCTTGCTCTGAAGCACTTCATTAAGCTATTCCCAGAGAGAAAATCCTTCCCTTCCCCACCCTTCCAGTTCATGAGGAGGGCCCCCGCTCAAGTTAAAATGGCTGCTGAGTACCTAAGACAGATCCCAAGAGTTTTCGAAGCTTGAAATATTTTTTTGTGTAATCCCCGGCCTCTGTCAGCACAGCGTCATAGTCTGCAAGACACAAGGGCACTATTACTGGCCAGTCAGTCCTGCACAGCAGGCCCTGTTCTTGCACTTCTGGCACGAGATGGGCGAGAGCCACCAGAAGGAGAGAGAAGACACACCTTCCCTGCCCTTGGCCTGGTCCGCCAGCCTGGGCCAGGCTGCGGAGCACCGCTGGCAGCCTGGGGCCATTCCCCACAGCCCTTGCAGGGGTCTGAGGCTGCCAGGACCCTGGGCCCATCCTCTGTTTCACTTCCTAATGGACATGCTCTTCTTCCCTCAATCGCCCCGCTGTGCCTATCGATGCCCTTACAACAATCACCATTTGTATTCTGTCTCTTGGTGGGGTCAGGTCAAGGGGTCGACAGACACGATGAAGGAAGCTGAACTTTCGGTCATGGGCAGCCCCATCTACTGCAATGACAACCCGTTGGGGGCTTTATGAACAGCACGGAAGAAACAAAAATAGGTTGAAAAATCCTCAATGCTCAGCACAGATCATAGGTAAAGAACCCAGTGATGCCAGACTACGTTTTCAGAGTCTCCTCTGTTACGAGCCAGCATCACCTGTGCTGGCGGGTGGCCAACTCAGTGAACACTTGCCGTAGCTGGTGACAACACTCCGGTGCCTCTCAAAATATGTGGCCCCATTTATGAAACCAAAGTTGGTTCCACCATGGAACATGTATATATTGAAGGAGATCCCAAATTTGATAAATTCAGACACAGTTTTTTCAACATCTGTAGAGGAGAAAGATAAGAAAGCAGAGAAATTAAAAACCACTAATTTGAAAAGACATATGCACCCCTATGTTCACTGCAGCATTATATACCACAGCCAAGACATGGCAGCAACTCAGGTGCCCATCAATAGACCGCTGAATAAAAAACATGTAGTACATTTATACAATGGAATATGACTCAGCCATTAAAAAGAATAAAATCTAACCTTTCCAACAACATGAATGGACATAAAGGGTATTGTGCTAAGTGAAATAAGTCAGGCAGAGAAAGGCAAATACCATATGATTTCACTTTCATGTGGAATCTAAAGAATAAAATAAATGAACAAACAAAACAGAAACAGATTCATAGATACAGAGGACAGACTGATAGTTGCCAGAGGGGAAAGGGGTTGGAAGACCAGGTAGAAAAGGTGAAAGGATTATGAAGCATAAATTGATAGTTACAAAATAGTCCTGGGGATATAAGTATGGCATAGGGAATATAGTCAATAATATTGTAATAACTCTGTATGATGCCAGATGGATACTAAACTTATCAGGAGGATCACTTTGTAAATTATATAAATGTCTAACCACTATGCTGTATACCTGAAACTAATATAAAATAATACTGCATGTCAAAAATAAATATTCAATATCATTAATAAAAAATTAAGAGAAAACAGAAGTTGTTAATGTAACCTTATCATTCTCAACCACATCCCCACCATCAACTTAATTATTTTGTCTTCCAACCTGCACTAAGATTCTAACCAGAAAATAGGGAGGATTGGCCAGAACTACTCTCGGCAATCATACCTTATTTCCTAGAGCCTTTTTTAGAAATAATTTTTCTCAAAGTATGGACATAACTGGAATCCTAACTATGGCCTAAGGACCTTCATGCCACTTAATTATCGAATGTTCATTATATTTTTGAAATTGTACAAATAATTAGTAAACCCTCATTACTACCTTCCAGGGTACGATCTCAGGGGACACTGGTTTGGAATGTCTGCAGCAGCGCACAAGTGGCCGTTCTCCATTTGTCACGCAGGAACCCTGGCTTTGCCCCTGATTTACCAGGTAGGCTCATCTCTCCACCGGCTGTAACAAGGGAGAGCAGGTGGTTGACGGTAGCTGCGGGATGGAGCCCGGGCTGCGCTCTCGGCTGTGCGACCTTGGGGGCCTGCTCTCCTCCCTGAGCCTCTTCTTACTTATGTGCTAACTGAATGCCCCAATGCCTACTGACTCCATCATAGGACTGATGAGAGTATGTGTGAGAAACATGGCACAGCCCCTGACATACAAGTGATCTGAAAAATGTTATTTTGTTTGGGGGGTTGGGGGAAGGTTCTATGTTTAGGCCAATGCAGACTTTTCTCAGCCAGCTGGTACTTTCCAGTGGTTCTCTTTACTTCAGGAACAAGTGAGCTTGTTTTCATAATAGCAATAGCAAAATATCTTTAGTAGCAAAATTCTGTTATTAACATCTGCCAGGCAGTGATCTGAGTGGGTACGTGGATTGCCCTATTTAACAACCACCAGCCCATGAGGTAGGTTACATGACAGCCCCCATTTTGGATGCTGAGACTGAGAAGGGGTCAGCGGCCAGCACAGTCGAGCTGGGGTGGGAACCCGGACCCCTGGCTGCAGGATCTACTCTCGCAGCCGCCATCACCTGTCCCCCGATAGTTGCTGCCGCGACCCTGACAACTCCATAGTGATGGCCTGTGCATTTTCCAGAGACGGTTGAGAATTTTAGGCAGATGCATCCCCTTTTCGGAGAGGCTGGTTTTTCAGAAACCTTCACGCGACCCCCTTGACGCCCCTCTGCAGGCCTGTCCCTGTCTTTTCTATCACTGCGTCTTTTGTCAGATACTGATCGTTTCACTTCCTAAGTATGTGCCAGCTCCACTAAAGTACAGGCTCCCTGGGGGCAGGAACCAGGTAATTTTTTTTGTCAGTGCACCTCCAGGCCTAGCCCCGTCCCTGTGCATCATATGTGTTGAATTAATAGTTGCAGTGGAAGGAGCTGAGTAACCAGCAGAGAAGTGAGTGCGTGACCCACGGCCCAGAGCCATCGCTGTTGGTTCAGACGCTGAGGAACACTTACCGTCCGCATTTTTAACCGTGTGCGCACCTCCCCATGTGTCGAACCAGCCGACCCAGTATTCCATAACCATAATGGGCTTATTTTTCTAAAAAACAAACCAAATAAAATACTGAAAAAAGGGGGAAAATCAGAAAAACTGAATACAAGAGGGAGTTTAGAAACTCGTGCCTTTCACTTTTTTCCGAGTCAGGCCGACTCCCGCTCTCCCACTGCCTCTTGGTTTCTCCCCTCCTCCTGCACGTTCATGCTCGCCAGTCTCCTTCCAGCTTGAGGTGCCTGCCTGCTGCACCTGGGGAGCACCACCTGCAACCCAGCCTTGTCATAGGTGAAGCTGGTGTTGACAGAATCAGCTTTGGATACATAAAAACCAGACTGCAATTCCTCATGGAGAAACGGAGACTCAGAGGTCACACTGCTGGTAAGTTCAGAGACCCAACTCAAATCCAGGTCTGAGCCAAACTGTCAGCCACTCAGTACATTGTCTATTAAGTTTATCATTAGAAGGGAGCCAAGGTGGCAGAGTACACCCGCTTGTGGTAGCTGAGAACCGGCCGAAATATCTCAGCTGCAAAGGTCCCCCCGAGGAGCAAGGGCTCTCAGTGGTACACGGAGCCCGGGGTGCCCGTGCTGGGAAGAGGAGCCCAGATAGCATCTGGCTGTGGAAATCAGTGGGGACTCCACTTGCCAGCTGAGGGGGGCCTGCTGGAAACCCAGGTGCTCCCTCAAAGGACTAGTGCACAGAATCCCTTCACAGATACTCACCCTGGGCTTCAACAGAGGGACGGCAGATCAGAGGGGACCCAAGTCATAAAGGCAGAGACTGCGTTGTGTGACTTTTTGAAGAGAGCTAGATGGACAGCTGCCAATGTCCCGATGTTGAGTCCCTCTTCCACACCTCACACAGATGCCACCTTTCTTGGGCCAAGCACTCCCCTTCATAAGGCATTAGCCTAGTGAGATGCTCTACTCCTGTCCTGCTGAGTCCCTGACGCCCTGCCCTGAGAAGCTCCCATAAAGCCACGGGATCTGCCAGCAGCAGCCAGCCTGGGCCTGCACTGCAGTCTTCCTTGAAAAACTGTTGAATTCTAGGCAAGGTCAGGGGGTGCCAGAGACGCGCAGGGAGAGGCTGAATTGTGTGGCTCTAGGACAAGCGTTGTTTTCCCTGCATGTCTGAACACTGTAACCATTCCTATGTGGGGCCCGCCCACACCCCACAGCATTAGCCTGGGGATCTACACTGGGGCCACCCTGGTGAGTTCCAGAGGCTGCACCCTGCCAAGCTGACACAGGGCTGTAGAATCAGCTGACAGTGGCCAGCCTGGGCCCGCGCTGCAGTCTTTCTTAAAAACTCTTGAGGAATTCCGGGCAAGCTCGGGGTTGTCAGCGACACACAAGCAGAGGCTGAGGTGTGTGGTTTTAGGGCAAGGATGTCTTCTCATGCACCAGACAGATACAAGAGTTCCTTTGCAGAGCCTTCCAGGTGGCCAAATCTGAATCTATTTTAGCCTGATGGCTCCCTAAAACCCCACCCTTCTGCAAAGTCCACAGGCCCCAGGTGCAAGGTGGTTGGCCTTGGTGAACCCTAAGACTTTTGCTAAGTGGCCTCAGACCCAGAATTGGTGCCATTTGAATCTGCATTAACCTGGTGAACACCACTTACACCTACCTGGTGACTCACCAACAAACCACCTGAGGCTCTCATAGTGCATGAGCCTAGCAGGCTACTGGCAGGCGGCAACAAATCTTGAGCCTTTTGCTGACCTGCCCCAGGTCTGGTACTAGTTGCAGTATTAGTATGAATTCAGTATGTCAGTATGCCCCTTCCACATGCACCTGGGTCCAGCACAGGCAGCTATCAACCATGGACCTCTTTGTAGCTCCAAACAGAAAGCCCGGGGCTGGTCACAGGCAGCACCTGACATTGACCTGCAGCAGAGTCCTTCCCAAGAGGCCTCAGTACCAACACACCTGCTGGCTCTCTTCGGGCCACATCTAAGCACAGCCCAATGAGCTCCACATACAGCACAACAAATAGGAGACCTTGGGAGGAACCAGGCCCTGCTGGAACAAATTCCTCTTCTTGGGGTCAGCCCGCACACGACAGCTCATACACTGTGGTCAGGCTCAGTTTTCACAGCCAGCCAGCCTGAGGGCCAGCCCCACCAACAGATGGGCCAACAGCAATCAAGACTCCATGATGCAACCCACACAAGAGACACTCCTGAAATACCTGGATCAGGCATTCAAGGAGACTGCACCACTCAGCCCCAAGGACGCCCACTACATGAGGCCACCCTACCAAGACTGGAAGATATAGCAGATCTACCTACTACACAGAAACAAATACAGAGAGGCAGCCAAAATAGGGAAACAAAAAAAATACCCCAAATAAAAAAAAAAAAACAGGTGAAATCTCCAGAAAAAGAATTAAATGAAATGTAGGCATGCACTCCACCAGATACAGACTTCAAAATGGTGGTAATAAGAATGCTCACGAAACTTAGGGGAAGAATGGAGGAACTCAGAGAAAACTTCAACAAAGAGATAATAGGCATTCAAAAAAAACATAGAAATCATAAAAAAATACCAATCAGAAGTGAAGAATACAATATCTGAAATGAGCACACACTAGAAGAATCAACAGTAGAGTAAATAAATTAGATTAGAGGATCAAATCAGTGATTTGGAAGACAAGGTAGCAAAAATCACACAATCAGAGCAGCAAAAAGAAAAAAGAATTTTAAAAGATTAGAATGGTGTAAGGGTCTCTGGGACAACATGAACCATAACAAAACCCACAACATATCGGTACCAGCAAGAGAAGAGAGAAAGGAATTGAGAAACTCTTTGAAGAAATAGTGACAGAAAACTTCCCGAACCTGGTGAAGTAAAAAAACACACAAGCATAGAGAGTCCCAAACAAGATGAACCTAAGGGGCCCACATCAATGCACATCAGGATTAAAATGGCAAAGGTTAAAAACAAAGAGGGAATCTTAAAAGCAGCAAGAGAAAGACAGTTAACTAAAAAGAACCTCCATAAGACTGTCAGCTGGTTTCTCAACAAAGATTTCTCAAGCAAGAGAGTGTTGGCCTGAAATAATCAAAGTAATGGAAAGCAAGCATCTACAACCGAGATTACTCTACCCACCAAAGCTATCATTTTAAATTGAAGGAGGGATAAAGAGCTTCTCAAACAATAAAAAAAATGAAAAGAGTTCATCACCACCAAACCAGTATTACAAGAAAGGTTAAAGGAACTTCTTTAAAAATATAAAGGGGGAAAAAGGGACATACATATGTATAATAAAATTGCATAAATACTTACCAATAATTGCTTCAAATGAAAATGGATTAAATGCTCCAATCAAAATGAATAAGAAAACAAGGTCCATATATATGCTATATCAAAGAGACCCACTACAAATCAGAAGACACATAGAAACTGAAAGTAAAATGACAGAAAAAGACATTCCATGCAAATAAAAACTGGAGTAGCAATATTTATATCAAATAATATAGGTGTTATTTATTTTTTTACTTATTGATTTTAGAGAGAGAGGGGAAGAGAGAGAGAGACACTGACTTGCTGTTCCACTTATTTATGCATTCATTGGTGGTTCCTGTATGTGCCCTAATCAGGGATTATATCTGCAACCTTAACATATCAGGACGACTCTCTAACCAGCTGAGTTACCTGGCCAGGGCCAGACAATGTAGACTTTAATATGAAAGCTATAATAAGAGACTTAGAAGGATATTACATAATGATAAAGGGACCAATCCAACAAAAGGATGCCACCCTTGTCAACATTTATGCACCCAACATAGGAGCACCTAAATAAAGCAAATATTGATGGACATAAAGGGAGAGAGATCAACAGTTAGACAGTCATAGGAAGGGTCTTGAACACTCCATTGACATAATGGATAGGTTATCCAGACAGAAAATCAAGGAAACAGCGGCCTTAAATGACACACTAGATCAGATAGATTTAATTGGCATTTTCAGAGTGTTTCACCCAAACCAGCAGAATACACATTCTTTTCAATGTACATGGAACGCTTTTCAGGATAGGCCACATGTTAGGACACAAAACAAGTCTCAATACATAAAAGAAGACTGAAATCATAACGAGCATCTTCTCTGACCAGAATGACTTGAAATTAAAAGTCAATTACTAGAAACATACTAGAAAACACACAGCACATGGAAGCTAAGTAATATGTTATTATACAATGAATGGATTAATAAGACATCAACAAAAAAATCAAAAGACACACATGAAAATGAAAACACAACAACCAAAATTCTATGGAACAGAGCAAAGGGGGAAATTCATAGCACTATAGGCCAACCTCAAGAAAAAAGAAAAGTCTCAAATAAACAATCTAACCTTACATCTAAACAAACTAGAAAAACAACAAACAAGACACAAAGTGAGTAGAAGGAAGAAACCAATAAAGATCAGAGCAGAAATAAATGATAATAGCTTTAAAAAAATACAAAAGAACAATGGATCCAAGAGCTGATTCTTTGAAAAAATAAACAAGATAAAAAAGATAAAACAAGATAAACAAGATTGATAAACCTTTATCCAGACTCAACAAAAATATGAGAGAAAGCCCAAATACATGAAATCAGAAATGAAAAAGAAGTAACAATGGACGTAACACAGATAAAAAGTAAAATAAGAATATAGTACAATTATATGCCAACAAATTGAACAATCTGGAAAAAATAATTTCCTGGAAACATACAGTTTCCCAAAATGGAAGCAAGAAGAAAAGGAAAATATGAACAGACCAATTACAAACAACAAAATCAAAGCAGTAATTTAAAAACTCCCAACAAACAAAAGTCCTGGCCTGGATGTCATCCCAGGTGAATTTTATCAAATATTCAAAGGAGAACTAATACCTCTCTTTCTCAAACTATCCCAAAATATTCAAGAGAAGGGCAGACTCCCAAGCTCATTTTATAAGGTCAGTATTACCCTAATTCCAAAACCAAATAAAGACACTACAAAGAAAGAATATTATAGGCTGATATCTCTGATGAACATAGATGCAAAAATTCTTGATAAAATTTTAGCAAACTGGATTCAGCAATATACTGAAAAGATCATACACCATGATCAAGTAGGATTTATTCCTGGAATGCGAGATTGGTACAACATCTGCAAATCAATTAATGTGACTACTGCAAAGACAAAATGAAGGATAAAAACCATAGGATCATATCAATAAATGTAGAAAAGGGAATTTGACAAAATCCAGTACCAATTTATGATAAAAACTCTCAGCAAAGTAGGAATAGAGGGACTATACGTCCACATAATAAAAGCTTTGTATGACAAACACATAGCTAACATTATACTCAACTTGGAAAAACTAAAAGCGTTTCCCTTAAGATCAGGAACAACTCAGGGATGTCCATTTTCACCAGTCTCATTCAACACAGCACTGCAAGTCTAGCCACATTAATCAGACAAGAAGGAGAAATGAGTATCCCAATTGAAAAGGAAGACGTAAAACTGTCATTATTTGCCAATGACATGATACTGTATATACAGAACCATAAATATTTCACCAAAAAACTACTAGAACTGATCAATAACTTCAATAGTACCTGAATACAAAATAAATATTCAAAAAAATGGTTGCATTTTTATACACCAATAAAGAACTTTCAGAACAAAGCAGTAAGAAAACAATCCCATTTACTATTGCATCAAAAGAAATAAAATACCTATGAATAAATTTAACCAAGGATGTAAAAGATACATACTCAAAATTATAAGAGATTGAAGAAGGTACTAATATAGAGGAGCATATGTCATGCTCATATAGGAAAGAACTAGAATCATTAAGATGTTCATACTACTCAAAGAAATGAATAGATTCAATGTAATCCCTATCAAAATACTAACCATATTTTTCACAGAACTAGAACAAATAATCCAGAAATTTGTATGGAACCACGAAAAAACCTGAAATGCAAGAACAACCTTGAAAAAAAAGAACAAAGTAGGGGTATCTCACTAACTGATATCAAACTATAAGGCCATAATAATCAAAACAGCATGTTACTGGCACAAAAATAGACACATAGATAAGTGGAACAGAACAGAGAGCCCAGAGATAAATCTACACCCATATGGTCAATTAGCCTTTGACAAAGAAAGAGAGAATGTACAATATAGTAAAGTCAGTCTACTTAATAAATGGTGCTGTGGAAAGTGGACAGATAATGCAAAAAATGAACTAGATGACTTTCTTACTCCATATACAAGAATAAACTCAAAATGGGAAGATTTAAATGTCAGAGCTGAAACCATAAAACTGCTAGAAGAAAACATAGTAGTAAAATCTCTGACATCTCTCTTAGCAACTTTTTTCTGACATATCTCTTGGGGCAAGGGAAACAAAGGAAAAAATAAACAAACAGGACCACGTCAAACTAAAATGATTTTGCACTATAAGGGAAACAATCCACAAAACGAAAACACAGCCAACTGAATGGGAGAAGATCCTCACCAGTAATACATCCAATAAGGTGTTAATATCCAAAACACATAAAGTACTCAGATAGCTCAACACCAAAAAAAAAACCAGCACCCAATTAAAAAGTTCACAGAGGACTAGAATAGACACTTCTCTAAAGTGGACACACAAATGACCAATAATCATATGAAAAGGTGCTCAATGTACTAATCATTGCACTAATCATCAGAGAAGTGCAAATTAAAACCACAGTGAGATATCACCTCACACCTGTCGGAATGACTTTCATCAGGAAATCAACAAACAACAAGTGTTGGTGAGAATGTGGGGACAGGAAACCCTCGTGCACTGTTGGTGGGAATGCAGATTGGTGCAGCCATTATGGAAAACAGTGTGGAGGTTCCTCAAAAAATTAAAAAAGCCTTATGAACCAGTGATTCCACTGCTGAGTATGCAAGAGTATATGCAATGGAATGTTATTCAGCCATAAAAAAGGAATGAAATCTCGCCATTCTGACAGCATGCATGGACCTAGAGAGTATTATCCTAAGGAAGTAAGTCAGTCAGAGAAAGACAAATATTACATGATCTCATTAGCTTTATGTGGAATCTAAAGAACAAAATAAATGAACAAAATTGAAACAGACTCACAGATACAGAGAACAAACTGATGGGGGGCTGGGTGGAAAGGTGAAGGGATCCAGAAATACGAATGGGCAGTTACAAAACAGTCACAGGAATGTAAAGTACATCACAGGGAATACAGTTGTAATATTGCAGTAAGTATGTACGGTGCCAGATGGTACTAGAGTTATCAGGGGATCACTTCATAAATTATATAAATGCCTAACGACCATGCAGTACACTTGAAACCAATTTAAAATAATATTGAATGTCAACTGCAATTAAAAAAAAATTTCCGGAAAAGAAAACTAAAGACCAGTATTCCTCATAAATATGGAAGCAAATATTCTCCACAAACTATGAACCAAGTGCATCCAGCACTGTAATAAGTGAAAATACATCACAATCAAGTGGGATTCATTCCAGGGTTGCAAGACTGGGTCAGCACTCAAAGCAGCACTAATCGTACTAGACACAAAAGGAGCCGGACCTCTGAGAAAAGCTTCACGGCCTTTGGGTTTGGCTCTAACTTTAGACGGACCCGGCTCCCGGAAGGACCGCAGCGCTCCTTCATGCTACAGTAGAAATGAACCTCAAAGGCATCAGGCTGCATGAAGGACGCCAGACAGGTGCAAGAGACTAGCTAGTGTATGATTATGTTCATGTGAAATGTCTAGAAAAGGCCAGTTGTGGAGAGAGAAAGCAGATCGGGGGTTGCTTAGAGCCGGGGGCAGGGAGCATTCACTGCCGATGAGCATGGGGAAACCTTCTAGAGGGGGGTGGTGATTCTAAAGCTCTACGCATTAAATTATATACGCACAGTGTGTGAGTTTAATGGTGTATAAATTACGTTTCAATAAAGCTGCTTTACAAAGTGACAAGAAAAAAACAACAAAAAAAGAGACTTACTAAAGGCATTAAAACTAGAGAAAACTATGGCTCCGCCCCTGGCTGAGTCCTTTCCTTCTACAAGGTCAGAAACTCTGTAGAAATGAATGAGAAAAAAATAAGACGAATTGGCTCTTTAATTAAAACCTGTGAAGGAGGCAGCACTGTCGGGGGCTCTGGCCGAGGGAAGGAGGCCTCCCTGCGTGGGGACAGGAGCAGCACCGGCTGAAGCTGGATGAGGACTGCGTCGGGCGCAGGCCACGACGGCAGGGGCTTGAAATGTCACCCTCGGTGCAAAGGAAACCCAGGGGCGTGTGCTAAGCAGGAGACACTATAGTCACATTCGGTCTGTCAGAGCTCAACCCAGCTGCTCTGTGGAGAAAGGGCGCAAGCCCTGAAGGCACGGGCGGTCCGTCTTTGTGACCCTCCCAGAGGTCACCCGTTGAAAGGAAACTGGGACATACTCAATTCATGTGTGTTAAATGAATTCATGCGCAATGCAGTCGTTCACTCCCATAGTTGGCGCAACCGGGCTAAGAAAGGCTGAGCCCCCCAAAGCTGGACGTGAGTCCTGTCCACAACACACGTGGCCCATGTCTGAGCTCTGTCCTCAGAGAGGAAGGAGTGCGTCACCTCCCGCCGATTCCTCTCACATAACCCCTCACCCTTCTCTGGTCGTCCTCCTCGGCTGCTCCACTGAGAGGTGACAGAAAAGGCATCCCCCCTTATTCCCCATGACAAAAGACATCAACTCCCCAAGCTGCTTTGGCACACAGCTGGCAAGCCTCCTCTCCCCACTGAATGCCAGCTGCACGGGCTGAGGGGATGGTCCTGACAGGCGCTGGGGCTAAGACTCTTCACCTCTAAGGTGTCCTTACCTGCACGTTATAGAGGCTTGTGAAAGCGTCCTTCCTAAACGAGTTTATATTGATGGTGGCCAGTGCTGTAGGGAGAAGGGAGAGATGCTGCATGAGGCCCTGTGACAAGTCCCACCCGGGGAGCGAGGGAGGCCCACGCCTTGCCCATGAGAGGAAGTGTGTTGAGAAGTAAGGATAACGAGATGCCGCTTGTTGCAACATGTACAGGGCCTCCATATATGTCCTCACATGGCTGGACATTTGCAAGGACAAGGTTAGGTAAGAAGGGCAGTTAAAATTAACCATATTTTGCACTGAGAAATGGAACAAGCCAAGGTCACACAACTTGATTAAACCTAGGAAATGAATGCAGGTTTCCTGACCCCAAGCCTGGTGCAAGTTCCACTGTATCGTGACAGTGTGGGGAAGAGCCACGGAAAAGGAGGAGAGAGGCGCTGTGTCGGGAAGCCGCCGGTCTGGAGCTAAGGACCACCTGAAAGATGCTCCTCCCTGGCTCGTCTCCCTCACTGTCAGCACCTTATGACTTTGTTCTGGTACTTGACTTTCAAGGACCTACCCAGGGCCCACAGAGCACCCCGGGCAGCAGGCCCCCAGGACCGGCCCCTGCGGAGGCTGGCCTGCTGACACAGCACCTGCCTTCTGCTCGCCGTGGGATCCGCGATGTTGGCGGGGCCGGCTTTCATTCTAAGCCGTGCCAAGCACCAATGCAGATCCTCAGCCACAGAAAAATGAAGGGAGATGGAAAGGTGGGCCAGGGACAGAAGGGCTCCCTGGCAGCTCCGCTGTTGAAAGCCAGCAGGAGCAAGGAGAAGTGATGGAGCTGCCGAGTGAACTCTTCACTTTGACCTTGAGAGCCCATAGTAATATCAAATCTCCAGGGACCACTTCAATGTACATGGAAAAGAGAGGCAGCAGAGATATTCTTGGTTCTTTCCGACACTTGTTCAAGATTCAAACTGGCAGGTTAAGAGCCTCTGTTCTCCTGTAAAATAAGCCTAAGTTTGTACCTCCTTCTACATGGCCTCTCAGCACTTCTTTCTCACCATCTGAGGTCAAGAGCATCTCCACTATCCCTCTTTTCAGCAGGGCCTGTTGAGAAAAAATGGATAAAAAGAACCTACTTTTCTTTCTCACTTGGGAAGAAGGAAATTAGGAAATAAATACAACTGGGCCAAGATGGGCAGCGTATGAACTGGAGAAAGAGGTTTGAATGGGGAGTCTGACCATCCGCAGCTCTGTCCCCGTCCAGGGTGTATCCCAGTGGCAACCCACTGCAGAAGCAGCCGAGTGGGGGCTCTGACTCCGGTGGTCGTAGCCCCCCGGGAAAAGCACAAGGCTGAACTTAGGAGGAAATACCCAAGGGAGGATCTGAATCCCAGAGAAAGCGCGAAGACTTGGGAACTCTTTGTGCTTGAAGGCGAGAGGCTGAGGCCACGGGCCTAAGGAAGATCAGAGAGACACTTCCCAAGCTTGGGTCCTCCCTGGGCACTCACGTGGCAAGAGGGGCATGTCATTACACAGCCCTGCTGACTAAGGGCGTAAGAAGCAGACAGGCGACCAGACGGCAAGAGGGCCCTCTCTGTGTGTCTTATTTGTGCACTGAGCCGTATCTGGGACCAGGAGTGGGCTTGAGTGGAGCGTTTTAAAAGCCAATGAAAAATAGTGCTCCTGAATGGGACCGACGTGAGGGGTGTGAGGTGACGCCCCGAGGAACGCTAGGGAGGGGGTTTCTCGCTGACCTCCTCCAGCGCCAGAGGCCCCGGCTGTAGTGCCTCCTCTCTCTCTGCCTCCCGATCTCTTCCCTGCCCAGCTGGCCATGCCCCTCGGTGGCTTCCCTGGCCATCCCACCCAAAGGTTTCTGTGGGGACAGAGCTAACGTGGGACCCGTCCTCCTGCTTGGCCGTCTGGGGAGGGATCCTGTTTAGACTAGAACTCGTCAGCCTCCGGAATGTGGGGAGTCACGGACAGAGAGGAGCCTGACCCACAAGGACGCCGGCAGGACTGCAGTTGTCCCCTGGCCTTAGACACGCCCCCCCTCCCCGCCCCCCGCCCCACGAAGGAGCAAAAGCAACAGGAGAAAATATAAGTACTGGGTTGGCCAAAAAGCATGTAGGTTTTTGCAGTAAAGTAAAGGATACATTTTTCATTTTCATCAATAACTTTATCGATTTGGATATTTTGAGTATGTCAGCTACCTCCCATGTAGTACAAGGCTGATTGTTTTCAATTAATGTCTTGATTTGATTGCTATCTCCTTCGACTGGTCTACCTGACTGTGGAACATCATCCTGTGAAAAACCTCCAGCATGAAACTTCACAAACCAGGATTGACACGTTCCATCAGTCACAGCACCTTCTCCATACACTGCACAAGTCTTTTTCTGCATTTCAGTTGCATTTTTACCTTCCTTGAAATAATAAAGCATAATATGCCAAAAATGTTGCATATTTTCTTCCATCTACAATATTAAAATGGCTGCACAAAAATTCACCAATTTTGCTAATTTTTAAATGAATGCTGACATGATGGCTGTCACCATACAATCTAAGAAAATTGTTTCAAATGAAGTTAAAGACAACCAAGTGTTTACTGAAGCCACCGTACGGGAAAAACCCAAAGAGCTTTATGGCCAACCCAATACTACAGGTTGGAGACCTGCCGGGTGCCAACCATCGTCATAAAGTTCACAGACATTATCTCCTATTCACCATCCTCCACCTTTCGAGAGTGTGTGGGACACAGAGGGAGCAACAGGAAGGTCTAATCTTTTAACATCACATTTTATCTCAGAATAAAGTTATTTCAGGGCATCTTAATCACCCTGACCCTACTGTACGTTCACAGAGAAACTGAACCTGATCTCATATATTCACATAACCCACGGAACCTAACAGAGTCCCGCTGCAGACTCAGAAAAGCGTGCTGCGAAAGAGACGGGCTGAGGAAGAAAGCACGTGAGTGTGGAGGCCGACCGCGTGTTTCTCACCTTTTGAAGGTAAGGCATGTACTGTTCATCCCAATGAAGCGACCCGTATTCATTCTCCACCTGCACTGCAATGACGGGACCTCCCTGGCGGTACTGAGACAAGCAGAGGAAGGCGGAGAGTGAGGCTGCAGGGGAAAGCCTGGGGCCTCGGGGCCTGCTGCTACAGAGAGCACCCCTGGGGCGGACACTGTGCTCCCCGCTGCTCCCCCGCCTGAGGCACCCCCTCTCCTCTCCCCGGTCCTGCAGTCAGAGTCCCCTCCAGGCGCCGCGGCTGTGCGCGGGGTCCTGCATTCCCTAGTCTTTGTAATGACGCCCACAGTTCCCCCTCTACTTCTCACACCAACTGGCTACTTACACATGAGAGTTCACACCTACAAACTCGCCTGCTTCCACACCCAACCTATCTTCTTGCCCTCCCAGCAGAGAAAGAGGCGCCCCTCCCCCGCCCTCCAGTCGCAGGCGATGCCGCCCACTGTGCACACGGGAAGGCCACCGCCAGCTCAGGAGCTGGTTCTCTGCACAGCTTCCTCTCCCTTCTGTGCCGTCAACCTTTCTTTCCAAACTGCCCTTCTTCCACCTTCCCGAAAACTTGCTGATAAGAGAGTGCGCTCCAGATCCTTCCCTCCACCTTTCTCTCTCTCCCGCCACCCCCACCTTTTAAGATCTTTATGGCTATTTTATTTTTTTTTATTTTTCACTTACAGTTGACATTCAGTATGACATTAGTTTCAGGTGTGCTCCCTCCTCTTCAGAGCCCCGCTTCTTGACTGGGGCCCCCGGCGCCTACACTTTCTCACTGTGCCCTGCTCCTCACACCACTGTGCTGAAGCTTCCACCCCATCCCACCACGGCAGCCACCAACGTGCTGGGATTAGAACACTTGTCACTCGTCACATTCAAGTCAGCCCTCTGCTTCTGGCAGCCCCGCCACACTGAAGGCAGGGCGAGCCCTGCACCGTGGGTGGCTGATCACTCGGCTCCCCAGGTGGCGCCTCCTGCCCCCAAGGGAGTGCTGTTCACAGAGAGGGGCCCCCTTGGGACAAGGGCAAGCACGCGCTCCTGGGCTGAGCAGGGAGAAGGGGCACGTTTGGTGGGCTTCCCTGACAGCCTCACTGTTCGCCCCTTTTCCACCTCTCACTCTGTGCTCCACACCAGCTGGACTTCTTTTAGTTCTTTTTTTTTTAAAAAAAAATTATATATTTATTTTTCAGAGAGAGAGTGAGAGAGAGAAAGAGAAATATCAATGCAAGAGAGAAACATCAATAGTTGCCTCCTGCATGTGCCCCGACAGGGACCAAACCCACAGCCCAGTCATGTGCCCTGACCAGGAACTGAACCGGTGACTTGTCGGTTAACGGGCCGATGCTCAACCCCTGAGCCACACCGTCAGAGCGCTTCTTTTAGTCCTTCAGATTCCTCGTTCTGTCTCTGGTCATCTGGTCTTGACCCACGTTGCAGACTCCTGACCACCCCCCTGGTCTGGCTAATGCCTGCTCAGCCTTCGCTCGCTGCTGTGTTCTGAAAACCCTGCTCCGGCCCTTCTCCTCCTCCTCCTCCGCTGTAGCAGTTATCACTCACGTTGTAAGTGCTCCTTTGTCTCTCATGTGGGGTTATGAGTCCCATGGGGCGGGACCATGTCTGTGTTTCTCACGCCTGGAAGCTTAGCTACTACAAATGCTTGGCACATAGTAGGTGCTCAATAATTATTTGTTGAATGAACATAAGTATTCTAAAGCGATGAACTGAGAATAGTTATTTATATTATTGAAGAGTATCTCTCCCCACGCTGAAGGGTGGAATTTCCAAAAGAAAAGAAAAAAGAAATCATAGGAGAATTCACAGTTAACTTTTTGAAATAAACAGGATTAGAGGAATAAATGTCTCCAGTAAAGCAGTAAATACACTCTAAAAATTATTTAAATGTAACAGTTGAAATGACAATAACCAATCATATTGAAACACTTTAAAATACTAATATTTTATTAACTTTTAAGTTCTATACTTTCTATTTGCACTTACAATTCCCTGTTTCTTAAAACTTTCCTAGAATTTTCCACCTCACGATTTCCATGGATGTTTATGCATTTGCTTTGCTTGCTGGATGTATACGAGGGGTAAGGAGCATTTGTACTTGTTCCTAAACTTCCATCCATTCAGAGTCTTTCTAGTTTTAAGGATCAGAGATTTTTCACTCCTGCCACCGAGTCCCACCCCAATGGCAGAAATAAAGCCAGAAACACACACGTAGGCCTTTCTTTCAAAGGACAAACCTGACTCCGCAGGACAGATGAGAGTTTAATCCTGCAGACAATGTCTGTTCCCCTCAGCATTGCTCATCTCTCTTAAAGCTGTATTGCTTTATTTCCATTTCTAATCCCCTGTTTCTTCTCTTTATAACTATCCTTATAAGAGTAACTCAAATTCACAAATCTGAAATACTTATAAAGGGCTGGACCTGTATTATATGTTCCCCCAAAGAAGCATCTAAGAGAATAAGCTATTAGTCTTATAGGAATCCTGGTTTTTACCCCATCTCAAGCTGTATCAAGAAATGGTCTTAAAATAGCATTTATTTTAAATAATAACCATGTGCCTCCTGTTGTGTGAACGAGAGTTGTATGTTTAAAACCAAGCACACTGATCAAACAATTGCTGCCTTGCCGCCTGCGGGGCACGATGCCCTTTTTGTGTCAAAGACTGGTCTGTAGGCTCCAGGCGGACATTCTGAAAATAAAGGCATTTCCTGTCAAGCACACAGTGCCTGGACTCTCCATGAAGGAAGAGGAATGCATGGTACCTGTGCTCTTCACATTTACTCTATTTCAAACTCAAACAAATTGGAATGCAAGTAATAACCCATATACCCACCCAGCTACAAAAGTGGCACACATGAAACAAGTTATTCATTATAAATTAAACTTGCAAAATTAAATGCCCATGACAAGGGTATTAATTAAATGAATTTTGATATATTCATATCATGAAATACTTTTTAGTCATTAAAAAGAACAGCAGGTTTAGCCCTGGCTGGTGTGGCTCTGCTGGTTGGAACATCATCCGATAAACTAAAAGGTTGCAGGTTCAATTCCCAGTCAGGACACATGCCAAGGTTGCGGATTCAGTCCCCAGTCTGGGTGAATAGGAGAGACAACTGATTGATGTTTCTCTCTCTCTGTTCCCCTCTCCCTAAAATCATTAAGCAAGTCTTCTGGTGAGGATTAAAAAAAAAAAAAAGAATTGCAGCTTTCAAAAATATTTTTTGAAGTGACAAAAGATAAACATCCAGTGAGAACTGTACATTTTTTAATAAAACAAAGTATACAGTCCCGGCTGGTGTGGCTCAGTGGATTGAGCAATGTACTGCAAATCAAAGGGTTGTGGGTTGGATTCCCTGTCAGGGCACATGCCTGGGTTGCGGGCCAGGCCCCCAGTAGGGGGTGTGCGAGGGGCAACCACATATTGATGTTTCCTTCTCTCCCTTCCTTCCCCTCTCTAAAAATAGATAAATAAAATCTTTAGAAAAACAAAAATAAAAAAGTATACGTACACACATGCACATCTGTGAGTGTGTGTATAAATAATTTGGTACCCTGTGCATAGAAAATCTCTGGAAAGATACACAAAAGTCTGGTGAAACTGGTTGTCTCCTGAAATGGTCATTGAAAGTTTGGGGACAGGGCAGGAGGGGAGCCTGTCATTTACCATAAATGCCTTTGTATTTTTTCTAGCTTTCTCACCAAGTGAGAAACAGCGCAGACCACTTAAGAGTAGAAATAAGCAGTATAAAGATCAGTGAATCTAGTGAACATCAAGTACATTGGAAACGACAGCAACCACAGGCCTCGCTTTCTGTCAGCCCCGTCTGGTGTGATGTGTGCCTTTCCAAAATCCCTGGGACAAAGGCTGGACTTAAGATGAGGGTCTGGAGTTCAAAATCGCAAGGGCGTCAGCTTCAGAGCTCACAGACGCTGGGCCTGGCCTGTGCTGCAAACAGGTCAGAACAAGCTATCTTCCTAAAGCAAATGTAAGATAAAGAAAGAAAGTCCTTGGGCTTTACCTGGAGAGGGACCACTCTGGCGATCAGATGATCAAAGTATTTATCAACTGCCTCCACAAAGCCCTTGTGCGTTGTCCTCAGCCTCAGCTGGGGGTCCTGCAGCAGCCAGCTGGGGCGAAAGGAAAGGAGCCCCGCATTTGCAGGGGAAGATGCAGGAAGGGCGGGCCAGGGCTGGGCCTCGCAGGACAGCCAGCCCCTCCTCAGCTCCGCCCAGCACGGTCTTACATCATTGGACAGCACATCTACGGTTGGGCAGACTCAAGGGTCCTCCAAGAATGCTCTTTGGAGCCTCTTACAGAGTTGTCGAGGGTGCAAGTGTCGTAGTGGCAGTATAACTTAGCAGGTCTCGCAGCTTCACCGCGGCTCATACACCAACATCTGAATGAGAGGCTACGTAACCTTTCACTGAACACTCGCCTCCATTCTTTTTCCGTCCGTTATAGACCTCTGTCTTGAGCACAGGGTATGCACCTTAGGCACAGGGCTACGCCACTGACCCCAAGCGCAGGGTGGGAGCTTCCCAACCAGTGCGCACGCCCCCAGGACACCTCCGCGCAGCTGGGCGGGCCTCCGCTGATCCGCGCGGGAATCGCAGCTCTGCCAGAATCTCCACTTCCTTCAAGGTTTTTCCTGCTCCTGAGTTGGAATGTGAGAACAAGCCCATCTTGGAGAAAGCAAAGGCCTTCCCTGAGCAAGGAGGGTTAAAGTGCTCGAGCACCTGCAGACAAGGCCATGGGCTAAACAGAGAGTCCTGTCGGCTTGCAGAGTTAGCAGAAGAGCATCCCTGGACTCTCGCCCTGAACCCACGCTCTCTGGGTTAAAAGCCAGCATCACAGATGTGAAATCAAGGCGAAACAAAATGAGAGGGAATGCAAGAGGATCGCGGTTTCTCGGCTCACCGGGGAACATGGTCAGCGAAGTCAGAGAAAAGGCCGAGGTGCTCAGACCAAGTCCAGAGGCCGTCAGAACCCTCCCTTCCCCTCGCTAAGCCTTCGCTGCCTTCCTTCCCCACAGGAGAGCCGACGTGGGGTCGTTCCTTCCCGTGGAGGGAGAAAAATGAGACACCCCTGACGCCTGTGGTAACTCCCCACCCCACCAACAACACACACGCACACGCACACGCACACACACGCGCGCAGACCGCACCAAGCTCTCAAGCCCCTCCTCCGCCGCAGGAGCACAGCAGTGGAGCCACGACTCGCGCCTTACTGCAAGCCTCCCCTGAGATGCCGTGTGATGTGCACACAACAGTGCAAGGCACAGAACATGTGCCCAGTGCTGCTAGATTCAACTTTGACTTCTAGTGAAACAAACTACCACAACCACAACCCCCCGCTCACCTGGGCAAGCCGCCGAGGTCGACCTCGCTGCAGATGTAGGGGCCTGGACGCAGAATCACCCACAGCCCAGTCTCCGCAGCCATCCGGACAAAGGCCCTGCGAAGGTCAAGGTCAGCAGCTCTCAGGACATCCCAGCGGAGGGCGGGGACCAGCCCGGCACACAGGCAGGTGGCAGAGATGCCCGGGTCCCCTGCTCGCCTGCCTCGCTCTCCCCACCAGAGCCCGCGTGAGTGAAGGGAAGGCCGAGCCCCTGCCCCCAGCAGGGCAGGCCTCCCACACCGGTGGTCCCAGGTCCCAGGCCCCAGGCCCCGGCAGCTGGGCCCTCTGCGCCTCCCAGCCCAGGACCCTCTGCGCAGCCCGCTGGGTCCCGAGGAGGACGGGTGCCAGACGGGGACGAGGGTCCTAACAACGAACCCGAGCCCAGGGGCCTTGCTGCCCTCCAGAGCCAAGCCCTGTCCGGGCACAGGGGGCTGGACCCCACGGCAGAGCAGGCCGACCCGGGTCAGGCGCCCCAGGGCCGCAGTAGGGGGCTCAGAGGACGCAGGCCTGGACACCGGGGGTGACGGGCGCGCTGGCGGGCATCGGGTCCGGGCGCGGAGCCCGCCAGTGTCCGGAGAACAGGGCTCTGACCCCAGGCCCCGTCTGGTTCTCCGGGCAGAGCTGAGACGCCACTGGGGTCCCTGACAAACCCCAGCCAGCCCCGCCCTGCCTCCCAGGCCCAGGGCCGGTCACAGAAGCGGCAACAGCACGTACTCGAGGTCCAGGTTCCCGGAGAAGTCAAATGCGCCGCGGTGCGGCTCGTGGAGGTTCCATGGGACGTAGCTGGAATGGGAAAAAGGAGAGGAAACACAATGAGCGTCTTCCTGCTTCTAGCCTATAAATTCCTAGGTCAGCCCCAGACCGATGCCAAAACCTAGAGTAGCTCTATTTTGGGAAGAGTTGAAGTTTCCCACGGCAATAAACCTGTATTACATGAACAATTATATTCAATAGCTCCTCTCTCTCTTACCCAGTTGTAGTCCAAGCTGCCAGTAATCCTGACCCTAGATTCTGTGGATTTACACATTAATTATCCCACTCACCACCCCTTCTTTGTAATATCCGCTAAAAATATAAAGGAAAGATAAAAACGCAACTGTCTACATATGCGCAATAAATTATTGCTAAGAATTAATCAATATAAGAATCTGGAGGAGTTTCAGTAGGATAATGGGCATGTCACAAAGGAAGGTGCCATCTTTGGACCCCGCCAGAAAGACTTGGCCAGGGACTGCTTAGTCTATAGGGCCAAAGGGACATGTGCAAAATTTTATTAAGTGCTATTTTTATTAGCTGACTATATTTTGTGTGTGATCAACAAAGTTTTTGTATATTGTCCCCTAATCTCATGTTTCTCCTAAGCCTTATAATTCTTATTACCCAATTTTGCACAGTGTAGAGATTTTTAAGGTATGTTGCATTATGGCAGAACTGACTACATTTCAAGATATATTTTTTTGTGAGTAGGAATGAAAAGCTGATTTGCTAAAGACATCAAACATGCATGATAAAGTTTATAACTATACATTGAGAGAATAAAATAAAAATATTATGCTAAACGATGCTTACAAGTGGCTTACTTTAAAGAAAATTGCTTTAAAAATAAAAAACAGAAAAAAGATATTGATGAGGCAAAATTAATCTAGTAATCTTAAATAGCAGGCAAAATGAGTTTTAAGGCAAAAAACTCACAAGCAGATGCTAAGAGAAGCATCAAATAATAATAAAAGCAACAATTCATCAAGAAGATAATAATCATGGCCTTCCATGACTTTAGTATCATAGCTTAAATAAAGGAGATGTTTAATGAATCAGAGAAGAAATGGCTCAATCTATGGTCATATTGAGAAGTTTTAAATACTTCTCTAAGAAACAGGATCATAACAGCAAAATAATGTAAAGATATAGACTTAACAACTCAATTAAAAGGCTGGATCTAGTAAATATGCATAGAGAACTCAGTAGTCAAACAATGGAATATATACATTCTCAAAAAATACATGGAACTGTTGTAAAATACAAATCCCCAAAATCTTCATTACATGGTCCATGATCCCAAGACAGATGCAACTAAATTATAATATTACACTTTTAAAAAAGCAAAATAAATAAATAAAACAGAAAGCATATATATAAAATGTTTGAAACCAAATGACTTTCAAGTTACCATAATAACAACATTAGTGGGATATATAACCAAAGCAGCACTTAAAAGACTCAGTCCTGAATAAATATATTGGAGAACTGAACTAAATAGTCAACTCAGGAGACAAGAAAAAGAGAAGGAGAACGAAGGGGAGGGGGCATAGGAGGAAACTACTAAATGAAATAAAGTAGAAGAAAAGAAATTATATGTAACTTACAAATTGTGAAATAGAAAACTAAATGATACAGAGAAGATTAACAAAGGCACAAGCGGATTCTTTGAAAAAACTAAAAATGTATATAATAAGTAGGAGAAAAAGAGGAAAAAGCCCCAATTCACAAAATGATATGTAATTTCCAAGAAAGATCCAATTTTATCCAATTTTTTTAATTCCAGAATGGAAAAGAAATTATAGACTAATAGGACATACTCTAGAACAAATGAAAAGCATGAGTTAAATAATAACTATTCAAGAAAAGTTATATTGTCCCAAAAATCTTCCCCTTACAACTACAAAGGATAATAGTCACAAAGTTTGACAGGTGAATTTTAGGAAACATTCAGGGTAAAAATTCTTTGTAAAAAAAAATATTTGCAGCGATGTCCTGGCTGGCATGGTTCATTTGGCTAGAATGACATTCTGTAGACAGAAAGGTTATGGGTTCAATTCCCAGTCTGGGCACATCCCATGTTTTGGTTTTATTCCCGGTGGGACAGCTATGGGAATCGCTCCATCTCTCTCTCTCTCCCTCTCCCTCTCAGGCTCCCTTCCTCTCTCTCTAAAATGGATGAAAAATGCCCTCGGGTGAGGATTACACACACACACACACACATTTGCAGTGAATATAAAAAGAAGATATAGTCACTTAATTAGTTTACTATAAGATTAATATCAAAACTGGATAAGACACAAACGTCGATAAAATCTTAAATCAATTTCAGCAATATGCACGTCCGAAATAAAATGCTAGTAAATCAAGCCCAGCGATCTGTGTGTGTGAGTGTGCACACGTGTATGTCTCATAGTCGGACAGAGTTTACCCAGAGTTGTGGATTGGCTGAATACTAGAAAAGTTGTCAATGTAATTTACTGCTTTAACAGAATACCATGTAATAAAAACCATATAATCCCTTCAACAGAGGCAGAAAAGGCTCTCAGTAGAACTCAGCAATTATTTATGATTAAATTAGTTTCAAATTAGATAAGGCAATTATCAATTTGCTGCCTCTCAGCTTCAAATTCATCCTCTGCAATAATTAATGGAAGGGCCCTTTAAGATTTGCTCCTTTACAGCGAACACGGTATTTAACTTGGCCACAAGAGGGCAATGGAAGGACATTGAAGAGGAAAAGGGTCTTCTGATTGCAGTGCAGTCTGTTTGTTTTTTAAATTTCTGTGGTCTTGCTACAGAGCTGGTTAGTGGTGTAGGTGTGTGAAGACATCTAGTGGTTCCTTCTTTTTAAAAAATTCAGTATATTACAAGTATATCTGAGAAAGATTCCCAGAGACAAGGAACTTGTTGCAAAGTAGGTTTACAGTTTTTCATGGGAAAATAAAGAATAATAAAAAGAATAAACCCTGTGTTTCACATACTCACAACTGTAAACCTACTTTTGCCTCACCCTGTATTTTGGAATTAACATAATACAGTTATAGATGAAAAACATTGCATTACATGTGCCATTGTGTTTGCTGCCACTTTCGGCTCTTTCCCTTTCTATATCATAGGTCTGAGCTTCTTGGAGCTGCCTTTACTTTTTCCCGTTGCTAACTAATAAAACCCCACAGACCGACCATGAAAACAATAGACTTTTCTAATTGTTGGGACAAACATCTCATCAAGAAACAGAAAAATATATTCTGCAACATAAAATGATAAACTGCACTGCAAAAGCCCTTAGAATTTACAGAACGGCTGCAAAGTGCTGTGAACCTGATCCTCAATCTCTCGGCAAAGCCCACAATTGGCCCGCCCGGCAGCTGGGCCCGGAGCCTCCTGGATTCCCGGTACACCGCCACCCTTCCTAACCGTCTGGCCTGGGGAAACGCCTTAACCTCTCTCCTCCCGAGTTTCCTCGACGGGGATCACTACATACCACACAGGGTTGCTATGAGGATAACGTGAATTAATACCCAGGGTTTAGAACATGCCTGTCCGTGAACAAATACCATGCACACGTAAGTGGGCAGCCTTCCTTGATAATGGTCGATGGATTGGAGCTGGCAGCTCTGTACACCGGCAATGGCAGGACCGTTGTACACGGAGGGTGGTTTCCTGCTGTCCTCTCACCTTCCCATACCGTCTCCCACACACCCTCTTGCACGCGGCTGCCACAGTGCAGCCTTCCACACATTTTTTCTTTGGCCCTCCCTTCAACACACCTTTATTGATTCCCAGTTTTTTCAGTTTCAAGATGTTTCTGGAAATAGATGTTTCTGTTATGAAGGGAACACCACTGTTCCTAATTCAAATGCGATTTTTGTGTTGGGCAAGGTTTTGATCCGATGGGCGGTCTGTGCACAGACGGGAGCCTTCACTCTGTGTGACGTGGCCTCGTCCTCAGTCCCAGCTGAGTGGCCGCGCCTCCAGGAGCTGCTGGAGGAAGGTGTCACCCTGGGCCAGCTGAGCCCTCTGTGCTCCGGCTTCTGGCCCCACACGGTGGGAATTAAGCTGTCCCTCTGACAGGGCAGCTGTGAGGATTAGGCAATTGTTGTGAAAATGTTTAAAAAATGCCCAGCCATCAATAAACTCTAAATGCATGTTACTCTTTGTCACTAAGCACATAATTGTGTTAACTATCATGCTAAATTTATCATTTAAATGTACCTTTATTTAATCATGTCAAATTTAATCCTTCTGCTGGACTAAACTGGGCTTCTATTTCTTTTTGCCACCATAACTGAGTGCATGGATGCTGCGGTCACAGTGGTAGGCATTTTTCATATAAATAAGATAAAGGTTTTGTCTCATTGAATCATCAGCACAATCTCAGGAGGCAGTTACTCCTCCGCCCGGTTGGAGATGGCAACCCCGGGCTCTGAGGGGCAATGGCTGGAGGCAGAGCTGGGACTGAGGACAGGCCTGCCCACTCGTTCAGCTGCAGTATTCATTCCCTCTCCTCCACTGAACTTCACTTTAGTGATGCTAGTCTTTCCTCACATGTTCATTTTGATACAACTATTATGCCTCTCCAGGTTCATCTCCATGTACAGTAATAAGGATTGTTTCAGTAAGTAGGAGCCGCAAGTGACCCTTGAGCACAAAAGGCACACACGCTGGACGTGACTAAGCAGAAGGTCGGTCCTCGGGCCAGGCCCCTCAAAGCAGCTCTGAGCCCAGGCTCGGGGCTGAGCGCCCCTGCGCGCGGCACTCACGTCGTGACGGTGTTGAAGCCGCAGGCCTTGAGCTTCAGGAGGCGGTCCCTCCAGTACCCCCTGGGCACCCGGAAGTAGTGGATGGAGCCCCCGAAGATCAGGAACTTGTGCCCCTCCAGTGTGAAGCACGGGTCACCCTTGGCTGGGCTTTCCGTCTGCAGTCCCGCACTCCGGTTCTTCAGCCCGAGAGGGGTCAGGTGAGACCAATTAAACCTGCTGAAAGAAAGGGAAACTGAGAGCGAGCGAGAGAGAGAGATGGAAAGAGAAAGAAGAGGGAGAGATGGAGAGGGAGAGAGAGGAGGAGGAGGAGGAGGAGGAGAGAGATGGGGAGAGAGAAGGAAAGGAGAGGCTGCTGAGCCCTCGCGGAGAAGGACGCCCTGGTTCGCAGGACATGCTCTGTGCTTGCATCTGATGCTATTTTCTCCAGAGAAGGAGAGAAAGCTCCTGCTCTCCCCACGCAGGCAAACCTGTACTGGTGCAGCTGTGACTCAGTTTGTCCAGAAATACGGTTTGCGGGAAGAGCAAAGCCTGACCAGGCAAATGGCAGGAAGAAGATGCACATGGTTTTTGTCCACGAAAGACAAGAGCTGAAAGAGAAAGAGCGAGCGGTGAGGAGGGGAGGGCGCGGCCCCGCCGCAGGGCCGAGGCCGGGGCCAGCGGCGCCCGGTCACAGGCAGGGCTCCTAGGCCGGCCTGATGCTGCGAAGGCTGGGGCTTTTCCTGGGTCCCCGGGCCCGAGACTCGCCCCCCAACACACACGCAGGCAGGGCTGACCCACAATGCGCCTCAGTCAGGACAGAAAGCTGGGGCACGGCTTTGAGTCGCAGGACCGCGGTCAGGGACGAGACAGGGCTGGGCACTGGGCCGTGGGGTCCCGGGGGGACGTGGAGGGGGGCTCGGGCTCAGTGACAGGGGCAGCACTCCACCCTCCCCCCCGGGCTCAGGAAGGACACAGTCCGGCCGGGGACAGACCCTCCTCAGGGCAGACGTAACCACGGCCTGGGAGGAAGAAAGCTTGTAAGGGGACCTGAGTCCGGGGGGCTGCGGAAGGCGCAGCGACCGTCACCTGAAGCGCGGCGGGGAACTCATGTCCGCGAGCAGGGGCACCGAGGTCCCGCGCTGCCGCCGCCGCCGCCGCCTCCCCGCGGGGACACCGCCGGGCGCAGGTGCGCTGCGTGCCGGGGGCCTGGGACCTGCGAGCCGCCTCCGCAGCGCTGCCCGGGACCGCGTCCTGCCTCGCACGGCCAAGGAACAGGCTTGGGGCTCCGGGCCGCGAGGAGGGCGGCGCGCCGCGTCCCATCCAGGGCTTGGAGCCGCCTGCGTGCGCCCAGTCTCTCCGCCAGGTAAGTAAGGCAGGAGGGGCCCCCGGGCAAACGCCCCGACCTTGCGCTTCCTTAAAGTGTGTGTCACCAGCCAATGGGCACAGAAAGGCAGGCGTGAGGAGGAGGATAGGAGGACAACTCAGCCCACGCCATGCACCAGGAAGCAGGGATGTCTTACATCTTCAGCAGCTTCAGCAAGGGCCCTCCGGTTCCAGACAGCGCTCGAGGCTATCCGGTGGGTCGTGCACGCAATGAAATCAAGAACATACTAAAATAAAGATTCCGAAGAGTGCAGTGGACATACAGGGGAGGGGCGCAGGCTGCCCTGAGCAGCAAAGTTTTCTGCCGCTGAATGTCGGTAAATGAGTGAGAACTATCAGAGGAAGAAAAATAGGGATAACTTCTGGTGTTTACACACATCCGTGCAAGAACAGCTCGGAATCCCTTAGTGGTTACAAAGTAACAGGAGGCGGGGCAGGAGAGATCAGATCGGAGGAGGCAGGTCAGGGAGGACTGCGGAGGCAATGCTCAGCAGGAACTAGGTCAGAATCTAGGTTTATGGAGATCGCTTGGCTGCCAGGTGGAGGCTGGGCAGGAAACAGGCAAGTCCTCCCCGCACACCGGTGATGCAAGGATGGGGCTTGAACTGTCCTCCTGGTAGTAGCACTGAGCAAGGAGAGCGAGTGGATTCAAGGGGAAAAAATTTAGGTGGAACTGGTAGCTCTTGGAAGTTGGTTGGAGGAGGCAGGGGATAGAGAGAATGATGACCCACATGTCTCCGGCCTAAGTGACTTGGGAAGAAGATGGTGACGTTTCCTGAGATCAGAAACGCAGGTGAGACAGAGGTGCCAATAGAAGGAGAGGCGTGGTGAACCCAGTGTGGGACAAGCTGGAGCCGAAGTTCCTGTGGTGACAATCAAAAGGGTGTCTCCCGGCCGTGTCTCTTTGAAGCCTCTGCTTTTCCTCTCCCATCTGAAAAAAACGAGGCCCGGGAGGGGCCGCAGGCTGAGGGCTAGGCTGCAACTTTCAGAGAGCAGCGGGCGTTTCTTTTCTCTCGTCTCACTCATTACGGGCACACCTTCCTCCTTGAAACCTCAGCTCCCTGAAAATTTTGTAGATTATCCATCATTTTTCATTCTTATCCTGGAAGCAGTGGACTTTGGAGATTTTCTGTATCTTACAGAGAAACATATTTAACTTCTTTGAATATACCTTGTTTAATAAATTTGGATTTACAGCCAACAAAACTGCATTCTTCTTTGTCAAGATTTTTTAACTATTCTAGGATCTTTGCCTTTTCAAATAAAATTTAGAATAAGCTTATCTATTTCTACAAAAACCATGCTAAAATTTTAATAAGCATTGCATTGGACCTGTACATCCAGTTGGGGAGGGTTGACATCTTCACTGTGTTGAGTCTTCAAATCCATGGACATGTGTGTCTGTTCATTTATTTAGGCCTTCTTTCAGTTGTGGTTTTCAACATACAGATCCTATGCATGTTTTGCTAGGTTAACACCTCAGTATTTTAAATGATATTGTATTTTTAAGTTCACTTTCAACATGTTCATTGTTACCATATAGAAATGCAATTGAATTTCTCGCATTAATTTATATTCTGTAAACTTGTTAAATTGACTTACTGATTCTAAGAGGTTGTTTTAGAAATTGAAAATTCAATTCCTTGGGATTTTCTACATAGGCAACCATGTCATCAGCAAATACAGTTTTATTTCTTTTCAACCTCTGAGTATTTTATTCCTTTTTTTTTTTTTTTTTTTTTTTTTTTTACCTTATTGCGGTAGCTAGGATTCCTAGCACTACGTTGATAAGAATGGCGAGAGCTGACATCCCCCCCATTCCCAGTCTTAGGTGGAAAACATTCCGTCTTTCGCCAGTAAGTGTGCGGGCTGCGTTGTTCATCAAGTTGCAGCAGTTTCCTGCTATTCCGATTTGCAGAGATATTTTATTATGAATAGTGTTGGATTTTTGTCAAATACTTGAACCCTCTCTCCATTGTCTATGACATTGCTATCCTACTTTTCTTCTTGAAAGATACTTTTGACAGATACAGAATTTGCAGTTTGTGATATAATAAGAAATATATATTTAGTCTTCATTCCCAGTTCCTGGCACAGAGTTCTTCAGATACTGGGAATTTCCTGCATCACAGGATGAGAAGAGCATCTTTTGTTACTTATAACAAGGCTTTTTCAACCACACCTGAGTATGTTAATGAGGTGACTTTTTGGAAAGCCCTTAAGGATAAGGGGCTGCTTGCTGGGGGGCCCGACCCTGTGACTAGAGGGTTGGAACGTTCTGTCCCAGCCCCCCGCCCCCCACCCAACACTCAGCGCTGGGCAGCGGCGGGGACTAGAGGTTGAGTTAACTACCAATGGCCAATGATTTCATCAATCGTAATAAAGGCTCCATAAAAACTCTAACTGAAGAGGTCCCGGGCGCTTCCAGGTCAGTGAGACACGGAGGTGCCGGCAGAGTGCCGCACCCAGCGACGCGTGGACTCTCCCTGCGCCTCCCCCCGGGCCTGGCCCTGTGCAGCTCCTCCGTCTGCCTGCCCTGCGGTTTGCCCTTCCCGGGGAGCTTGTAAACCTCCGGACGTACTCCCTTCGATCTGTGAGCAGTCCTAGGGAATTTGCCCATCAGAAGGGAGGCCATGGGACCTCTGTTTTGCAGCCTGCTGATCAGAAGTGCAGGTAAACACCTGGACGCTCGTCTGAAACGGGAGGGGACGTCATGTGGGCCTGTCTGGCTCATTCTAGGCAGTTAGTGTCGGAACTGAGCTAAACTGTAGGGTCCCCAGGTGGTGTCTGCTTAGAGAACTGGTTGGTGTGGGAAAACCCGCACATCTGGTGTTAGAAGTGTTGTATGATTAAAGGAAAACAGGTTTTTAGTGGAGTTGACACTTCTTTTCTTTCAGCACTTGAAAAATATGGTGCCACTTCCTCTGGCCTCCATAAAATAGGGTTGTATTTCGTGTCTTGTAATTCCCTATAACTGCAAGTAGGTGATGCATCATTTCTCTCTGGGTGCTTTCAAGATTTTCCTTTATTTGTGGTTTTCATTTACTTTCCCTTTTTTAGTGTTTCCACTTTTTAAAGACTTTATGTTTTAGAGTAGTTTTAGATCTATAATAAAAATGAGTATCCTCTCATTTTTGAACAACATAATAAAAATTCAGGATCCACGCCTGGTTTTCATATTTATAATGTCTTTTTCTAATTTCTGGTAATTCTTTATAAATTAATCCAGAACTCTTAATTAAGTATCTATACTATAACACACTGTATATTATCTGGTTTCTCATACTTATTCTTCAATAAACTCAGGCATTTAAATAAGACGAAATTAGGACAATTTTTATAATCTTAAAGTCTAGATAGAGGATATCATCCAGCCAGGGTGGAATAATATGGAACAGATTTATCCTCCTGCCTTAAACAGCTAGAAAACCACACAAGACAAAAATGTTTGGAGGGTATATCCATTATTCATCTAAAACATTTTTAAAAGACTTTCCAGATGTTGGACAGGAGGCACCACAGGTCTGCGACCCCTGAGACAGATGAAGCCCCCAGGATCAGCCCTGAGCTTCCTGCCTGCACGCGGCTCCCAGGTGCAGCCCAGGGAGGAAAGCCCAACAGACCCGGGCTCTCACTCACTTGAGAAAATAGACACCAGAATGCAGGGGCACCCAGGCAGCTACTTTGTAGAACAAAGTGCCAGAGAGGAGAATCTCTGCCGGGAGGGAGTTCCAGAGATCTGCAGAGAGGTCTTTTGAATCTTTGGCTCAGTTCTGAACTGTGCATGTGAGGAAACTACCAAGGCCAAGGACAGAACCACTAAAAAGGCTGAAAACTCCTCCGGGCTTGCACAGCTCTGGAAATAGTTCACATCATACCAGCTAGAGGGCCAAGATGACCTAGTGTCTCGTAAGACTGCCGAAGTCTCTACACCCTCTGACAAAGCTAAAAAGCAGCCCTTGAAAAGATCAAACTAATTCTAAGTAACTTAGTGGCATCCCAGAACAAAGCTCAAAAGCATCTAAAGAATTACAGCCTGTCCAGCAAATGACGACATAAAATTCACAATGTCCAGCATCCAATGGAAAAAATGCCATCCATGCAAGAAGCAGGGAAGTATGATGCATAACCAGGAGAAAATTCAATCAATAGGAACATATTCACATGTGATATAGATGAAGGAGCTGTCAGAAAAGGATGTTAAAATAACAATTATAATTATACTACATGTGGTAAAGGTCCAGGAAAGCATGAGCATGATAAAAAGAAAAACTGAAGGTTACAATATATCCAAACTTCCCAGGATTAAAAATATAATTTCTAAATTTAAAAATAGACTGAATGGATTAACAGCGTACTAAACACTGCAGAAGAACAGATCAGTGAACCAATAGGTAGTAAGAGAAATTATCCACATTAAGGACAGAGAGAAATTAATAAAGAGAGCACTGGCACCTCTGAGACAATATCGAGTGGTCCAGCAAATGTACAGTTGGAGTCCATCCCAGAAGGAGGAGGGCAGGAAAAAATACTCGAAGAGATAATGGCCACAATATTTCACATTTGACATAAAGATGTTTACCTCACAGTCACCAGAAGGCCTGTCTCCCCATATCCAGCTGTGGAAAAAACTGCATAGATAAAGGTTGGTGGTGTTTAGGGGCCCCACTCCCCAATGTACTGGGTGTGACTGCTGAAATGATGAGGATCTCAGTTAATATTTTGG